CATATCTCCTTGAAATTCCTGATTCCACTGAGCTCCAAGGCTTGGCCCATATTTTCGAACTAATATTAAATTTCCACTACTCTCACCCCATCCATGTGTCCCTTCAGCTTCCTCGTGTGTCTGACCTGGCCAATTTTCCTCTTATGTAGTTTAAGTATCCCAGGATATTTGATCACATATCCCCTCCGCTGCTCTCAATTGTCCCCTGATTTATGGGCTTCCAATAAGGGGTTCCTTTGTCCAAAATATCAAGCCTCTCCACTCGAGTACTGATGGACAGCCTTTTCAGGGTTTAACCATAAAAACAAATGGGTCTCTTTTTTGGTCCTTGTGCCATGTTGCTCAAGCATCAAATTCTAGAGAGTCCTACTGACCTAGCTAGGGTCCCAAAAGTGGGACCCTAGTGCCACTTTTGGCCAGAAGTCAGAAGAGATACCTTACTAGACAGTCACATGAAAATAGCTTGCAATTGGAAAGAGGTGGTTTCCCAAAGGAAAACTGAAGTTATCAAGACCATGGATGCTGGGCAGGCAAAAATAAAGGACATCCAGTAAACCGACTTTGAGCAGATCACAAATGATGAAGAGAGAGATTATTTTGGACAATTGTCCTATTATGTATTGGGTTGTCAGGGTGATATATGAAGTGAAGTAAATAGTGGTTTCTGAATATCACGGGACAGTACGAAGTTTAAATTGGGGAAGACAGTTGGAATTTAGCTATTTGGAACAGTGGAACTGGAAATTGGGAGAATAATGAATTAATTTTTAAATGTTTCATTGCTTAGTAGGTATCAAGCACTGGAGATAGTGATTAGCGAAACAGATACAACCCTTGCCTTCCTGGAGCTCACTTTGTGAATAATGGAACTTACCATGTGTCAGGCTTAGTGTTTTATATAGTGTGAATTCATTGAATTCTCACAACCCTATGAGGTTAGTTCTTTTATTCTCCCCATTTTGAGGATGAGGAAACAGGCGTAGGTGAAGTGATCTGCCCAAGGTCACAGCACTAGTGATGGAGCTAGATGAACCCAGGCATTGTTTCTGGAGCACACACTCTTAGTATTATTTTTACCAGCTTTATTGAGATATAATTCACATACCACACAACTCATTAATTTAAATTATACAGTTCAATGGCTTTTAGTATATTCACAGAGTTGTGCAGCTATCACTACAATCAATATTATGATATTTCATCATTCCAAAAAGAAGCCCTACACCCCTTATCCATCTCCCTCCAACCCCTCCATCCCTAAGCAACCACTAATCAACTTCCTGTCTCTATAGATTTGCCTATTCTGCTCATTTCATATAAATAGAATCACACAATATGTGGTCCTTTGTAACTCGCTTCTTTCACTTAGCATGTTTTCAAGCTCACCCATGTGTAGCATGTATTAGTGCTTCATTTCTATTGCTAAATAATATCCCGCTGTATGTATATATATCAGTTTATTTGTCCATTCATTAGTTGGGTTCATTTGGGTTGTTTGCGCTTTTTGGCTACTACGAATAATGCTGCTATGAACATTCGTGTACAATTTTTTGTGTAGACATACATTTTTATTTCTCTAAGAGTGGAATTGCTGGATCATATGGTAACTCTATGTTTAGCCATTTGAGAAACTGCCAGACTATTTCCCAAAGTGGCTGCATTTCACATTCCCGTTAGCACTGTATGAGTTCTCCACTTCCTTGCTAAAATGTATCTTTTTTTTTTTTTAGATTACAGTCCTCTTAGTGAGTGTAAAGTGGTATCTCATTGTGGTTTTGATTTGCATTTCCCTGATGGCTAATGATGTTGAGTATCTTTTCATGTGCTTATTAGCCAAGTGTATATCTTCTTTGAAGAAATGTCTATTCAGATCCTTTACCCATTTTTAAATTGGGCTATTTGTCTTGAATTCTATGAGTTCTTTATATATTCTAAATACAAGTCCATTTCTCCCATTCTGTGGTTTGTCTTTTCATTTTCATGATAGTGTCTTTGAAGCACAAATTTTTAATTTTGATGATGTTCAGTTTATCTGTTTCCTTTGTTGCTTATGCTTTTTGATCATCTCTAAGAAACTATTGCCTAACTCAAGATCAACAAGATTTAAGCCTATGTTTTCCTCTAAGGGTTTCATAGTTTTAGCTCTTACATTGAGGTCTTTGACCCATTTTTAGTTCATTTTTGTATATGGTGTGAGGTAGGAGTCCAACTTCAATCACCAACAGCCAGTGATTTAATCAACCATGCCTATGTAATGAAGCCTCCATAAAAACCCAAAAGGAGGGGGTTTGGAAAGCTTCCAGGTTAGAGAACCAGAACACTTCCACATGCCACCATGCTGGGCCCATGTCACCATGCTGGGCACAAACTCCACAGGGACAAAACCTGCTTTGTCTGGAACCTCGCCCTATGTGTCTCTTCATCTAGCTGTTGATTTGTGTATCCTTTGTAGTAAACTGTGTGAGTGAACAAGCTTTCCTGAGTTCTGTGAGCCGAGCCGCTCTAGCAAATTAAATGAACCCAAGGAGTCATGGGAATCTCTGCTTTACAGCCAGTCGTTCAGAAGCACAGGTAACCACGTGGATTTGTGACTGGCATCTCAAGAGGGCAGTGTTGTGGGACTGAGCCCTTAACCTCTGGAATCTGATGCTATCTCCAGGTACTGTCAGAATTGAGTTGTAGGATACCCAGTCGGTGTCCAAGAATTTCTTGGTGGTGTGCGTAAACACCCCCCACATCCTTTTTATTTCTGTAAGTTTGGTAGTAATGTCCACTCTTTACTTTCTTTTTTTTTTTATAATTTATTTATTTTCCCCCCAAAGCCCCAGTAGATGGTTGTATGCCATAGCTGCACATCCTTCTAGTTGCTGTATGTGGGATGCGGCCTCAGCATGGCCGGAGAAGCGGTGCGTCGGTGCGCGCCCGGGATCGGAACCCCGGCCGCCAGCAGCGGAGCGCGCGCACTTAACCGCTAAGCCACCGGCCGGCCCTTTACTTTCTATTAATACCACGCCAAACTGTCTCCCTAACCGGCTGCCTGACACTTGCAGCAGCAGTGTGAGAAAAGTTTATTTGGGGGTATATAGTGGGGAATGGCACAACAGTAAAGGAGAATAAATAGATAAACACAAGAGAAAGCTTGGGAATAGGCATCTAGGAAAATTGAAGATTTGATATTACAAAATCATAGGCTCTAATGTAGAGGGAAGTAGAAAATAGGGTGAGACTGATGCTGGATGGGAGATAGAGCAGTGGAACAGAGTGGGTGACCAAGTGTTTATTATCCTGATTTCTGAATTTTTGAGGGCGGAATTTAATTAGAGGACAACGGGGCCAGGTAGATTAATTTGTTCCTGCAGAGACACTACTATGACAAATAGTAACAGTATTAATGTCCAACAATTATTGAGCACTTACTCAACATGAAATGGACTCCTGAGTAGACACTGTGGATTTCACTCTTCTATCCAGGTCATGTCCATATTTTAACTGTCTTCAGACAAACCATATTATTGCATGTATAATGAGGCTAACCAGGTCTCAGCTGTTTCCTTAATAAGCAACCTACTTCCTTATGAATATCTTAGTATTCTAATTTCACTAGGTATATTAGTTTCCTGTGGCTACCATAACAAACTTAATGACTTAAAGAACAGAAATGTATTTTCACAGTTCTGGAGGCCACAAATCCAAATAAAGCTGTCAGCAGGGGCATGCTCCCTCTGGAGGCTCTGGGGGAGAATCTGTGCTTTGCCTCTTCCAGCTGTGGTGGCTCTGGGCATTCTCTGACTTGTGGCTGCACAACTCCAACCTGCCTCCGTGGTCACAATGCCTCCTCCTCTTCTGTCTCAAATATCCCCCTGCCTTTCTCTCATAAAGACACTTGTCATTGGATTTAGGTCCCACCTAGATAATACAGGATGATGTCCTTATCTCCAGATCCTTAACTTCATTATACCTGCAAAGATCGCTTTTCCAAATAAGGCACAATCACAGGTTCTAGGCCTCAGGGCATGAACATACCTTTTGGGGGATCACCTTTCAACCCACTATACTAGGAGATTTTAAATAAGCTAAAAATGTAAAAAAATAGAAAATTTTCATTTGGATAAAAAGTCATATTGAGGAAGGAAACATACCATGACACTATAGACAGCAGAATATCAAAAACCAAAGCTTTAAAAATAAATGTATTTAATGTACAGGATTGGAAAAAGGACTCTTCGATAATAAACATGTTCCAGGTAAACACAGGCTTCCTGTGTCTTTGAGTATTTAATTGCAAATATTAATACCCTAAGTTACTCCTCTACATAAAGGAGAAACTCTGAGTCCCATTCTTTAGGAAGACATGCGGGCAAGCAATACCTTAAGAGCAATGATTGCTATTTCTCCCCTTTCCTTGGGTGATCTAACACTTTACATGGACTAATTACAAAAGGAAATATCAGACTCCACTGAATTTAAGGACAAGACACAGCTAAAATTTCCCACTGAGGGTACTAAATATTTGATGCTTATGAGTGTGAATAAATAAGTTAAATATTAGGTACAAGGTAGATTCCAAAACTAACTGAAGTATGAAAAAAAAATTGTTACAAACACCTAACAATCAGTCAATATAAACTTTTCCTTGGGTATGTTCCAGGCTTCTTCCTTTTCTGTTCCAGTGAGATCTGCTTCTCTTTTGTCCAAGGTCTTCTACTGCTGAACTTCAACACAGCAAACTGCTTACCATCACCAAGGCCTTGGTCATAGAAAGGATTTATTTTGGAAACAAAAACTTCTTTCTTCTTTACTAAAGATCATGGTTGTCCTTTCTGCTACTTGCTTCTTTCAACTAGTTATCAACTTCCTGGTGTAGAATTAAGTTACTGGGCAAGGGCAAGACTTCTGTGTGGGCTGCCCCACAGTGTAGCAGCTGGTTAATAAAGAAGGCACTCATTTAACCTTTTTCTAATTTGGTCTCAACCAAAGAATAAGTAAAAAGGATGGAGGTTAACAAAGGACTCACGACCAAGGTACAATTTTACAAATATCTTTAGCCAGGGAAAGCTTTACTTCTTCAATCATGCCCCAAATGAGTCATTATTGAATCAAGAATCCCTTCCCATATTAGGGGCCTCTAAGAACAGATGCTTCAAAGATGAGTTCAGGGTAGTACGTAGACACTTCAGGAGAGTGGACCAAAAAAGAGGAAGACGTGGAATATGAGAAAGAATGAATAAGGAAAATCCAATAAAATATATAGTTTACTAAAATAATAGTCATTGATGTAAATCCCTTACCATTCTACTTTCTGAAAGGCTCCTTTTACTACTTAGAAATTAAGATATTTTCAGTTTTTTCCCTTCTTTTTCCACATTGTCTCTAATATTCTGTAGTTTTCTGGAATTCTGGACCAGGAATACCAAGCTCTCCCTAAAATCACTAGTCCCATGATCTCTGCCAACATTTTCAAGCTCATCAAACAAAGCCAATGTCTGTTTGAGTTTGGCCTGAACGATTTTTTGCTCTTCTAATTCTGCAAGAAGGGCCTGCTTCGTGCATAATTCAGTCTTATACTTCTCCTGTAACTGTTCAATTTCTTTTTGGAGAAGCTGGAATTCTTCCTCACTACAAGGATGCATATCCTGAGACTTATCTTCCGGAAGCAAGATGTTTGGGGGAATACGCAAAATCAACTGTAAAAATAGCTGCTCCATTTTGCCAAAAAGGTTATCAAAACGCCCTTTCATGAAGCAAAGAAATTTCTCCGTGCATTTACGAATCTGGACTGGGCTAATCTCACAGTCTGGGCTGCCATCCAGCTTCTTCAGAATAACCTGTTCAACAGCCTGCATCACTTCAAACAGGTAGTCTTGAAACGCAGTGTAGATCCTAAGCATGCAAGTTTGTGGTGTGAAGCCAAAGAACTGGGCCTCATAGGTCATTGGATCGACAGACATGTTGGCTTATTTTGCAATGTTAATTTTGACTGTGAAAAATCTGCAAATGTAAAAAGAAAAAAATTCATTTGGATAAAAAAATCATCTGAGGAAAGTAAATCACATTACAGATAGCAATAAATAAATAATAAGGAGTCTGTGTTCCTTGATACCCAATGCCACTTCCAGCCTCACTCATCCACAACAGGATACAAACCCTTGCCTCTCTGAGGCTCTTCCCTCAGCCGATACCCTCCCTTTCCCCCTCCTCATTGTTCATTTCTCTCGCCTCTCATTTATTGAGGACTCTGGCCTACGGCTCAGTCTTCTGAATTCTGTTATCATCCCAGACAACGCACAAGTTTAGACAGATGACCTAACCAATTCCTAGAGACTCGTTTTCTTGAGTTTCAACGGACTTCATCTCCACTCTTTTTTTTATTGTGAGGAAGATCAGCCCTGAGCTAACATCCATTGCCAACCCTCCTCTTTTGGCTGAGGAAGACTGGCCCTGGGCTATCATCCGTGCCCATCTACCTCTACTCTATATGGGATGCCACCATAGCATGGCTTGACAAGCCGTGCGTCGGTGTGCGCCCGGGATCTGAACCTGTGAACCCAGGGCCACGGAAGTGGAGCGCACGAACCCAACCGCTACGCCACCAGGCCAGACCCCATCTCCACTCTTTTAGCCACCTGGCTCTTGATATTTGTAACCTCTCCCCTCAACTACTCCTACTTTTTGACCACAACTTCCTATGCTATTCTTGCAACTCTCATTACTTACTCATATTATACCTTACTCTTCAAGACTCTCAGCCCTCTGATCCTCTCCTTCTTGCTCTCAGTCTCTCCCACTTCACTTCTTTCCCTGTCCATTTTAGGCTCCATGATTCATCACTTCAACCACTCCCTTGCCAATGTCCTCAACTCCCTTGTCCTTCCAACCTAGCCAACTGAAAAAAAAATCCCAGTTAGAAGCTGAGCAAGCTTCTTGGCAGCTTTACAACCCGACATTTTTTCAAATGACTCAAAGGAGTCATTCCTTTCAAATGTAAAGATCTAGGAACACAACACTCCTATCTCCCATTCACTGTGGGACTTTAACCGAGGCACCTTTTTCTGAGCTATAACCATATGCTTGTCATAGAAATAAGACAAGTTTTATTATTCCTTCAGATAAAGGCAATCAGCTAAAATAAATGGCTACCTCAATTATCAGGTGAATTTAGGATGAACTTTATAAAAGAATTTGAAGCAAATGGTGCAGTCAAATCTTTTTATGGGAAGACAAGATGCCATTAATCTTGAGAATTTATGTATGTAATGGCTAAAAACAGAATAGTTTTAACTGCTTGGCCGTATAAACGAGGCAGAATTTCTGTCTTTGTAATCTCATTCACAGATTACCTATAATGCATTATAATCTGGATATGCTCATTCAGTAATAAAACTGCTTTCTTTTCTATGTCTTGTGGAGAGGATTCTCTGGCTTGGCAGGATTTTTATTCCTCAACACTGCCCTATGCCTTCAGGATCAAGTTCAAACTCTTTCAACATGGCTTACAAGGGTCTTCATCATCTGACCCTTACTAACCACACTCTGCCCTCCTTTTTAAGGCCCTTGTACTTGCATAATTGAGTTGATAACACGTCCTATTTCACGGTACTCTTATTTTTGGCTCATGCAAGGTCTTATTTTATTGTTCCATCTCTCATCTCCCATAGGAACCTACTCTAGTGTTTTTAACACATGCCTTTTCAATTCATCTTTCATTTCAATTCATCTTTAATAGGTTTTAGACATATAGCCTTGAAAAATAGTTTTGTATAAGTATGTTTACATTTTTCTTTATATTATGTTTGCAATCACTTCATGTTATTATACTTAAGTTTATTCATTGGTTCTGACTGAAGTATTCCATCAATTTTACCATATGCATATACCACACTTAATGTGCCCATTCTCCTTGTGACACCTACTTTGTTCAGCACCTTGCTATCAGAAATAATGTTGTAATGAACACCCTCCCACAATGAACAAGTCTCCTCAGGGACTTGCACAGTATTTACATAGGCAAGTAATTGCTGGGCCAGAGAGTTGACTCATACATAATTTCACTAAATACTGCCAAAATGTTCTCCAGAACTTTTTGTGTTTTTTTTTTAGCTGAGGGTGGGGGGGGTCTAGGCTAGTTTACACTCCCACTTGCAGTGTAGTAGAACTTTCTCATGTCTTTGCCAACACTTGATATTATTCAACATTCTAATTTTTGCCAATCTGGTAGGCGTAAAATTGTTTTACAGCGTCGTTTTTTGAAAATCAAAACCATCTCTGGTGCCAGCCTGGTGACATAGCAGTTAAGTGCGCATACTCTGCCTTGGTGGCCTGGGGTTTGCAGGTTCGGATCCCAGGCGCACACCGACCCACTGCTTTTCAAGCCATGCTGTGGCGGGGTCCCATATAAAGTAGAGGAAGATGGGTATGGATGTTAGCCCAGGGCCAGTCTTCCTCAGCAAAAAGAGGAGGACTGGTATTGGATGTTAGCTCAGGGCTGATCTTCCTCACACACACACAAAAAAACCATCCAGTCCCACACAGAGGTTGGACACTGAGGACTGAAACTACCTACACTCCCTCCCCCTACACACAACTTACTGTTTATATTGGCACGACTTTACTATTCTAGGAGACCAGAATAATATTTTCATTATTCGAGTGGCTTAATTGTTCATTATGAACTCCCCCAAAGATGGATCAACTCTTCAATGGGAAGCATCAACAATCTGTACCCCAAGGTTCTCTAAAACTCTTGCCTCAGCTGTTTCTACCCATCCTGGAGTGTTATTTCATGAGCCCCACCCAATCCTAATCAAGCCCCCAACCTAAAAGATCCACCTTAAACCAAACTTGCCATTCTCAAAATATCCCGATCTTGCCTTTCTTCCCTATGAGACACTGCCAAATCTCTGTTGAGGTGGTGTTCTCCCTTACCAGGGCAAGCAAAACATTCAGCATTGTTTCATCAACAGGTTGTGAGGGTGATATCTGGGGAACGGGCAAAAACATTTTAATGTGCATTTCTCTGATTACCAGTAAAGTTGAGCACCACTTCAAACATAGGAGCTCTGCAGGTTTCTCCTGTGAATCACCCATTCATATCCTTTTGAAAAACCGCTCCCTCCTGCCCTTCATTTGATTCCTTCCTTATACACTACCAGACTTGCAGGTCACTCCCTGTTCCAAACATCTTCAGCGCTCCCTTATAACCCACCGAATACAGTACGATATTCTTAACTTTGCATGCCATGATCTCACTTCTCTTTGTTCCAACCAAATCGAGCTATCCCCCCCGCCCCGCCCCGGATGTCTTTCCCTCAAGCAAGGATGCCATGTCCAAATATCCTTCAAGGGTCAGTTTAAATACACTTCCCTGGTGACCACCGTCTCCTCCGAATTCCCGTCAGGACTTCCCTGCGGACACGGACCAAGCCCTACTGTAGGATATTATTATCCCGGGCCTGTCCCATCTCTTCTGCTGGCCTCAGAGCTCCTGAGGGCAGGATGAGTACGGTTTAATCAATATTTGCACAGGAAACGCGGAAGCTGCCCAGCTCTCCTCAGCGAGCTGTGTGGACTGAGCGCCAGACAGACACCGCCGGCAGGAACTACTTCCGGCCGGAGGACGGGCTTACGTCGGGCCCCGCGACCCCGCTGCATGCCGGGACAATCAGGTCGGAGGCCCGCGGCCCGGCGGACCAGGCTGCTCTCACAGGCCGCTCAGCGCCCCGCATTGATGCCTAACGCAGTCCCACCCCTTCCCGCTCCTCCTCAGAGAAAATGCAGCCCCGCGGCACTCACCCAAGCGACCGTGAGAGTGCCGAATTCGACCAAACATCAGGTTCCCGCCACCTCCCTTAAACCACCGCTTGCTGCCAGAGATTGGCTGCGCGGCTGGGTCCCCAAATTCCGACAGATACCTGCCTCAGCATACGAGAGCAAAGGCGGGATGCTATCGCGCTCCTGATTGGCTGGCTTTCCGGTCGGGAGGAGGCCACCTAGACTGGTGACGTAAAGGGGCCGGGCGGGAAAGCTAGCTGTGGCCGGCGGAGATTGGCGGAAGGAACCGGTACTTACACTCCTCTCCCCTACGTTGGTGCGTGGGGAAGCAAGGCTGGGGCGCGGCGGAGACGCAACTCGTGATTGGCGGGTGTTCTTTCCCTAGGGCTCTAGCTATTGGTGGCTGGCCGACTGCGCGGCGCTGATTGGACAGCAGCTGTAGGCTAGAGGGAGGGCCCTGCGTTGATCCCGCCCCGCCGCTTGGACTGACTGGCGGAAGGGGAAGCGGGGGGGGCAGGCGGCGGTGGGGAAGATGGCGTACCAGAGCCTCCGGCTGGAGTACCTGCAGATCCCACCAGTTAGCCGCGCCTACACCACCGCCTGCGTCCTCACCACCGCCGCTGTGGTGAGCAGCTGCAGCGCCAGCTTCTCATTATCCGGGCTGGATATGACCGGGTCCTTAGGCAACTGGGGTTTGGGCTTCGTGGAAGCCCAGAGGGGTTGGTCACAGGGGTGGGTGGAGGCGAACAGAGCTCACTCTGGGGTCGGTATGTCCCGGAGAGTGCTTATCCAGTGACCCGAGAGGGGTGGAGGATCAGGACTGCAGGTCAGTTTCTGAGAGATGAAGGCCGGACCTATAGCAAGTCAAGGCTGCGGGAGCCGCCCACCCAGGAAACGTGTCCTAGAACTCTGGCGATGGCCAAGTGGTCCCGTGGCGACTAGTGGGAGGAAGGCGCGCTCAATGAAGAAACTTAGATGTCGAGGATAGGAAGCCGGAAGTTGTCGAGAGAGAAAAGTTTTGAAAGAAAGAGTCTGGATGTAGAGGTTGACTAGAAGCCCTCAGCCCTGGCGGTGGCAAGGTCTTGAGTCTCAGTTGTTTGGAGTGAGTTGTGCTGCTTCACACAGCTGTTTCAGGTGGTGCCCGTGCGATGGGCACGATTCCTAGCAGCTGCTCTTACATTCCTTGTATCTAAGATGTCATCCTGTGCCCCGTGCCTTCATGTCAGCCTTGCCTACTGCAACATAAAACAAACTTTTACTTTGTGTTAGGTATTGAGGATACAAAGAATTGTACCAGTTCTAGAGAATTCTTTACCTCTTCCCGCCTAAGACGAAAGCCTTAAAGGATTGAGTCTAAGTGACTGAGAGTTGGAAATTGCTAGGCCTACTAATCCTTTGTTGTAAATGATGAAATTTTGTTTCTTGACCAATTTGCTCTAAGAAGCTCTTTTTCTATTTCAGCAGTTGGAATTGATCACACCTTTTCAATTGTACTTCAATCCTGAATTAATCTTTAAACACTTTCAAGTAAGTGGTCCATCACAGCTATGATTGTTTCAGTTTTTTAACTTGTTTTTCATACTTTTTAGTAGCAAATCCTGCCATACACTATCTCAAAAAAGAATTCTGTGGGAATATTTGGCTGTAAGTCTTATGTGGAGGGTATAAAGCAGTGATTCTGCAGCCTGATTGGGCTTCAGAATCACCTAGGGAGCTTTTAAGAGATTCTCGAGCTCGTCATAGTGTACCAAATCATAATCACCAAGGGTAGGAAGTAAGAATCTGTGTTTTATTTTTAAAGTTCCTTGCATGGTTTTGATTTGATGTGTCTACTTCCTGTATTTAGGAATCACTAGTTCTGAGTTATTATTGTAGTTTGAGAGAAGACTGACCAGCTAGCTGCCCAGGGCGAGTCTCACAGGATGCCCTTATTTTGTCCACTCACCACCTGGCACATCCACCACTTTGGTGTTATCACTGTGGTCCAGTTCAGAAACGTAACTTCAGTTCAGAAACTATTAGTGCTTTTAAATTGATCCACGTTTCAAGGATTAGATCATAGTAACAAAACTCCAAAAGACTGATATCTAAAACAACATGCCAATTTATTAGATTACAGAGGCAGATAGTCCTTTCCAGTAATTAGAATGCTAGAAGAGAGATGTGTTTTCCTGCTCCAGGATGATCATGTAAGGCTATAGTTGGAGTCAGAGGGAGACCCAAAAGCCAGTAATTCTGCCCCTACACATGCTATTCTCTCTGTCTCAAATGTGTTTCATTCACTTTATACCCATTGAACTCCAGCTTGCCTTTCAACACGCAGCTTTTGTGTAGCCTTCTCAGATTCATCCTCCTTTGTGTCCCTGGGGTATCTGCAAATACTTCTTTTAGAGCGTCTCCACGTTGTACTTAGACTTATTTATATGCTTCTCTCCTCACTAGGTCGAGGGCTCTAAAATCCTGGATGTAGTTAATATGTAGAAATGAATTGTTTCAACCTTAACAGTTACCAATTCATAAGAATTTAATGATACATAAAGCAGTCCTGTGAACTCTTGTTATTGCCGTGTTCTTCAACACTTGCATGGCCTTTGCTGGGAGCCATAGCTCCATCCAAGCATTTCTTCTTCTTAGCTTGCTTGGCTGGATTTTGCCTGGGGTTAACTCTTGATACTAGGTTTGAATTCAGAGTCTCCCTCTATAGGCTGTGTGTCCTTGAGCAAGCCATTTAAAAATTATCCAAGTCTCTTAGTTTTCTTATCTGTGAACTGGGAATGGTAGGACCAGCCTGCTGGTCTCACAGGATTATTAAGATCACATGAGATAATAAAATATGTTAAAACACTTTAAAATGTTAAGTGCTCTGGCATTGTGAGTAGTTTTTATTGCAGATGTGGATGGATTGGGTAGGGAAGAGTATATCAGAGTTTCCAACATGAAAATGACTGTCCTTGCATGTACCAATTAGACTCTAATTATTAGAGCATTAGGTCTTTGCTTGTAGGGAGTTGGCTGTTTATTCAAGCTAGAACTTGAGTATTTGCTTTAGAATTACTCTTTACTCTGATGTTTCTGACTGCCTAATATTGAAACATTTCTCCAATTTATATTAGATCCCTGGAGTTTTTCTCTGGTATCACAAGACTATCTGTTAGATTGTGACACCACATATGTGAAAGCACTGTTTTCTATTCTGCACATTAACCTAGTCTTTCCATCAAACTTTTTCCATAATTTGGCTGACCATACGATGTGGGCTTTTTTTAAAAGACAATCACAAATTCAAGTTTTCTGTCATGTTATCCTTACAAATTTCAGGGACCGAGTGATATCTTTCAGACTTTCAACTAGAAGCAGGACAAAAGTCCACTGTCAGATTGTGTGCCCCACTTTTTAGTTCAGAGCATAGTATTACCCTATCATAGCCTTTCAACCATCATAGTCATAGAATGTCTCTTTTGTCTTAATATAGAAATGTTTCCTGGTGTGTTTTACTTAATCTATCTTTCTTTTGATTTTTTTCTTTTAACAGATATGGAGGCTAATCACCAATTTCTTATTTTTTGGGCCAGTTGGATTCAATTTTTTATTTAACATGATTTTTCTGTATCCTTTATTAAATGGAGTTACATAAAAACTTTAGGCTTACTTAGGAAATACAATAATAAGTTGAAACTATTGATCCTGTTATTTTTGTAACCATCTTAACTGTAACTTCTGGGTACTGGCTCAGTGGTACACAGAGTAGTTGGTCGGACAGTAATGTTTTGAGGGTGTTTGTAGGTCATTGTTCAAATGGGAGCTATTTAACCATAAAATGATAACATTTTTGCCCATAAGTCACTTAAAATTCTAATCAAAGAAGAGAAGTGATTTGAGTCATACTTACAAAATAAACATCGGCAGGTACCAAGTGATAATTAACAGAGTTTTAGTATGGGTTTGGGAGTGGGCTCATGAGGAATGGAGAACTTGAGATCTCCTTGGATCTTAGTTGCTAGTTCTACTGACTGAAAAGACAGGGCCCGCATGTCTGCCAGGCTGCCATGTTCCGGTTTATTGAAAGAGAGGAAGAGTTGTGCTCTGGTCACATGGTAATTGGGGCCACTGAGCAGGGCATTCCCCCTCCATCCCCACCCTCTGGATTAAGAGGGAGTTACAGCTCACCTTATCTGCAGTAGACAGAGGGCCTTGTAGGGGTGACAAGATTTCTGCCCTAGGCCGGATTCCTGTGTCTCCTATATGGTATATCATTCTAAGTTTAAATATAATTAATTTTTTTCATCATAATGCATCTTTATTAACTGAGGTATAGAAATGCTTACTATTCCTGGCCTGAAAAAGTAGATTATCACGCAAGGCTTCTTGTTGGGGATTTCTTCCAAGTTAGGTTGTGAAAAAGCAAGGATGGTGCAGATTATGGTGTGGGTGAACATGGGAAAGACAATACAAATTTGAAAAGGTTTAATAGGTGACTAGAAGCATGTTTGTGTGGCGTCTGGCTTAGTTCCCCAGTCAGAAACAGTTCTTGTAAAATAAGAGCTGGTCTTCACCTTGCCTAGAGTGTCTGGTGAAAGAGAAGTAACCACACTGCCACTCATAAACATTCTTATAGAAGCGAAGGCTTGACTTCTCCCAAAAAATGTGAAGTCCAAGTGTACCTAAGTGATACATTAAGTTTTACTTTGTTCATATTTGTGTGCTTAACATTTTCTTAACTTGGAACTTAAGATATCGTTACTGTCGAATGCTAGAAGAAGGCTCTTTCCGAGGTCGGACAGCAGACTTTGTATTTATGTTCCTTTTTGGTGGATTCTTAATGACTGTATCCTTCAACGAATAGAACAAATACAGGAAAATGTGAAAGAACACTCTCTCTCTTCCTAAAGCTTTTCGTCTGTCTCCCACAACCCACTGGATATTCTGAACAAACAGATAAAAGTAGAGCTCTGGATTTTAGCTTCAGGATACTACTATTTATTTTACAGCACACTTTATGTGGCAGCTTTCTAAGCCTAGAGGTCGGACAGGATGCTTTTCTACTGTGGGCAAGTAAGAGGAACTTTTTACCGAGGTGGGTTACCATTAAGCATCTTAGGTATATTATTGGGTTTTTTTGTTTTTTTTTTAAACTTTATTTATTTTATTTATTTTTCCCCTCAAAGCCCCAGTAGATAGTTGTATGTCATAGCTGCACATCCTTCTAGTTGCTGCACGTGGGACTCGGCCTCAGCATGGCCGGAGAAGCGGTGGGTCCATGCGCGCCCGGGATCCGAACCCCGGGCCGCCAGCAGCGGAGTGCGCGCACTTAACCGCTAAGCCACGGGGCCGGCACAGATATATTATTGTTGATGGGTGTACTTTGCTTTTAAACTAAGTTGGTGAGACATTTGGTCATATCAAAACTGATAAATTATTTTTTAAAAAAGAATTTTCATCTATATAACAGACTTGAATATAGTCCTGTCTGACAAGATGTTTTTGCTTCAGCTGGCTTTATGCACCTCTGTAAAGGTGCTAATGGTGAGTGAGCTTTAATGTAATTATAGACGAAAGAATTAACACATTTTCCAAAGAGGCAAGAACTTCATGAAAAGCAGAATATTAATTTGAAGTAGCTACAATCCCGATTTGGATTGTAATGATGATTTGGCCTAAGTAGGTTTTTGCCTGATTGCTCTAGATAAATATTTTCAGGCTTTATTTCTTCTGAAGATGTAACTATTGCTCGACCCTCCTAATTCGAACTTCGTTAGAACAGAATCTTGCCAAGTCTTCCCTATTACACTTTTAATGTTGATATTTTCCTTAATGCCATATGCTAGCTTTTTGGTTTGTTTGTGAGCTTAGTATTCTTGGGCCAGGCCTTTACAATAATGCTCGTCTACGTGTGGAGCCGAAGAAACCCATATGTCCGCATGAACTTCTTCGGCCTTCTCAATTTCCAGGCCCCCTTTCTACCCTGGGTGCTCATGGGCTTTTCCTTGTTGTTGGGGAACTCAATCATTGTGGACCTCTTGGGTAAGAGTCTTATCACTACTTTCTCTATTATTTTACTTGTAAACTTATTTTGTCACTATTTTTCATGTTTATTCTGCCTAGGCTTCACATATAGCTATTATAGGATTATTTGATAATTATATGCTCAAAGACTACAACATTAGGTTTTTTAATTTTTAATAATTATATTGACATTTCATCCTAAATATAAGGAATTTGTGTTGGTAGATCTACCTGCAATTGCAATTTTAATCCTCTCTCTCATCCTTTATTTCTGGTTGATTCTAGGTATTGCAGTTGGACACATATATTTTTTCTTGGAAGATGTATTTCCCAATCAGCCTGGTGGAATAAGAATTCTGAAAACACCATCTATTTTGTGAGTATTTAACACCGGGTTCCTTGCGGACAAACAAGGACAGGGTCCGTGGTTTGTGTTATTTTGGGGCTCTTGTAGCTTGGTTCAGGTCGGTAAATATTTGCAGACTGAGCAGTCTGGCTGCGGTTGAGGAGCATTTGAATTGGGTAGGGGCAGACAGTGCTCAAGTTGTGGCAGGAGCAAGGTTAACAGGCTCAGGATGTCCTGAGGGTGACTTGGAAATTGCTGTCCTGGATGACCACTAGCACCTCCTGTCCCAGGGAGGAGCCTGCAGGTTTCATGAAAGCTGCTCTCTGAGTTTAGAGAGGTGAGGTAGTAAAATGGGCAAAACTGATTAAAGGAAAGTGTCTAATGGTGGAACTGCTGGCCTTCCAAGCAGGGGGTAGAGAGAAGCAGTGAATTAGAGTGAAAATAGCTTTGGGCTGGAAACGAGGTACAGCTGCTCCACTGACCAGCTGTGTGGTTTCAAGCGAGTCCCTTATTTTTGCACTTCAGTTTCCTGAGGGTAGAGCTTTGATTCATAGGACCTCTTTCTACTCCAGAATTTTGTGTGCTTGGGATATACTGCATTAAAAAGGGCTCACTTGGGCCGGCCCCGTGGCTTGGCGGTTAAGTGCGCACGCTCTGCTGCTAGCGGCCTGGGTTCGGATCCCGGGTGCGCACCAATGCACTGCTTCTCCGGCCATGCTGAGGCCGCGTCCCACATACAGCAACTAGAAGGATGTGCAGCTATGACATACAACAATCTACTGGGGCTTTGGGGGGAAAAACATAAATAAATAAAATCTTTTAAAAAAATAAATAAATAAAAGGGCTCACTTGAGGAGTAAAATGTGAGTTTTTATTATAAGATGTTGGTTGTGGAATAGTTAAGTAAAAAAAAGAAAGTAAAATCCTCCATAATGCCACCACTTAGATAGAACAGTGGTTACCATTGTTAGCTTTATTTTTTTTTCTTTCTTTTGCTGAGGAAGATTCGCCCTGAGCTAACGTCTGTTGCCAATCTTCCACCTTTCTTGCTTGAGGAAGATTAGCCCTGAGCTAACACCTGTGCCAGTCTTCCTCTATGTTGTATGTGGGTTGCCACCACAGCATGGCTGGTGAGTGGTGTAGGTCCGCACCTGGGATCCAGACCCGGGCTGCCGAAGCGGAGCGTGCGAACTTAACCACTACACCACGGGGCTGGCCCCCCGTTGTTAGCTTTCAATATGTATTCTTCAGTCTTTTATTGTCTGTGTACTTTTTAAAAATGCTATTTCATAACCTTTTTAACATGGTATGCCATAATCATTTTTCCACCATAAATGTCCTACAAGATTGTGACTGCTACGTGATACCTCATTGTGTGAATATAGCATAATTTTACTAATCCGTTACTAATGGACATTGACATTAGTTCTTGCTTTTCCCTTCTATAATTGGAGTGGTAAATCATCCTAGTAGCTAAATCTTTGCACACATCCATGATTATTTTCAAAGGATAAATTTTTAGAAGTGGAATTGCTATTTTGTTTATTGCCAAATTGTAATTGAGAATGGATGTTCAAGTTTACATTTCTTCCAGTAATGTATGTGTCCATTTCCCCACATCCTTGTCAAATGTGGGAGGTATTATATTTACCCTTTTCCAGTTTGATAGCTATAAGATGGTGTCTCATTGTTTTTTATGATTTTTTTCTGAAAGTTTGAAACAATTTCAGACTTACAGAAAATTACAAACAGTACAGAGGACTTTTTTTTCCTTAGGTATTTAAAAATAAATTGTCAATCTAATGCCCCATGACCCCCTTTCATGTGTATTTTCCATAAACAAGGACATTTTTCTACATATTCAAAATCAGGAAATAAACATTAATCCTCAGACCCAATTCCCCTTTTGGCAGTTGTCCTAATAATGTTCTTTATAGCAAAAGAATCCAGTTCAGATTCAGGTGTTGCATTTCGTTATTATGTCTGTTTAGTCTCCTTCAGTTTGGATCAGCTCCTCAGTCTTACCTTGACTTTCATGAAATAGACATTTTTGAAGATTATGAGCCCGTTTTTTAGAATGTCTCTCGATTTAGATTTGTCTAATGTTCCCTCATGTTTAGGTTCAGGTTTTGCATCTTTGGCAGGAATACAGAGAAGTGATGCCATGTTCCAACTGCAGCCTGTTAGAACAGGATTTCAATTCGTTGAATTTGTCGAAGTGGTGGTAATTGCTTTGATTACTTGATTAAGTTGTCTTTGAGGCTTCTCCACTGTAAAGTGACTTTTTTTCCTTTTGTAATTTAAGTGTTTTATGGAAAGTTTCTTTGAGATTACATAAATATCCCATTCCTTATCAAATGTCAACTAATTTATATCTGCATGAATTCATGGTTTCAGGTGTTATTCATGGATTATAAACCCTTATTATCATAATTTATTTTGATGCCCATACTGTCCCAGATTTGGCCAATAGGAACCCCTTCAAACAGGCTTCTAAGTACTTTTCAATATGTTCCCATTTTATTTTTTAAGCAATTTATTACTTTCTGGCCCAACAAAATATCCCATACTTATCTTGTGCTTTCCTGGAATCAACTGTTTCTTCGAGGAGCTCTAATTCCGTTTTAGTGAAGAACGGTATTTAGAAGCCAAGATCTGGGTGCTAGATGTGCTCATGGCTTTTGGAGCATTACTGTTCCCAGGTCCTCTTAATGAACAGAGCAAGAGAATTATATGTATGCATATGAGTGTATAAACGTGTGTATACACATCTGTATTTTTATATCTACAGTCATGTACAACATAACGATGTTTCAGTTAACAACAGTCCCATAAGATTAATATCATATAGCCTAGGTGTGTAGTAGGTTTGTGTAAGTACACTTTATGATGTTCACACAAGGACGAAATCGCCTATTGACACATTTCTCAGAACGTATCCCCATTGTTAAGCGACACATGACTGTATTCATTTTTTAAAACGTGTTTCTACTGATACTCCCAGTTCTAGTACAAATCCACATGATTCATTCTAGTGTTTTTCTTTCTATATTTTTCCTCCAATGTTTTATGAAAATTTCTCAACTTACAGGAAAGTGGAAAAAAATTGTACAGCGAACATCATTTACCTACCACATAGATTCTAAAATTAATATTTTATTACTGTTCTTGCTTTTTGTACATCTGTCCTTGCATCTTTCCATCCCAATGTACTTAATTCTCTAAATACTGGGGCCAGCCTGGTGGCATAGTGGATAAGTTCGTGTGCTCCACTTTGGCAGCCCAGGATTTGCAAGTTCGGATCCCGGGTGCAGACCTACACACCGCTCATCAAACCACGCTGTGGTGGCATCCCACATACAAAATAGAGGAAGATTGGTACAGATATTAGCTCAGCAACAATCTTCCTCAAGCAAAAAGAGGAAGATTGGCAACAAACCTTAGCTCAGGGCCACAATCTTCCTCACCAAAATAAATAAATAAATACTTTAGTATATATATCAGTAACTTGAGTTCTTTATATGCAACAAAATACAGAAATCTCAAGTGTGTCAACAGGTTTTCATAAATGCACGCATCTATGTGTAACCCCAACTCCTATCAGGATAAAGAAAATTAACCATTACCCACAAGATTCCCTGTCAGTCCTTGCCCCCATCCCCCAGGAAACAATCACTATACTGATTTTGTGCCTCCACAGATTAGCTTTGCATGTTCTACAGCGTCATGGGTGGAATCATAAAGTATGTATGTACTCGTTTGTATAAGGCCTCATTCATTCAACATAATGTTTTTGAAATTAATCTACATTGTTGCATGTATCAGTAATTTGTTCTTTTTTTTGCTGAGTAGTATTCCATTGGGTGACTATACCACCCCTTTTCCATATTTCCCTACTCTCACTGACAGTGAGACCTGATTCCTAGTATCATTAATATATTTACTTAATTAATGCCCCATACGTAACCATCCTCATCACTGTCTCCCCCTCCCTCACATGGATGCCTTGCTTCTCCTGCTCTGCCTCAGATTCCCCATGTTGGGCTGCCCTCTCATGGGGATGCCTTCCTTACCTTATTCAGGCTCTGACACCCTGAACCTGGCCAACTCCATGTGAGCATGCCCAGGGGGGCTCTTGACTCCCTATGGCAGCTACTCTCCCCACCCCCATCCTCCACTCCCCTGCATGGACACCTACTTTGTTCTGCCCTACCTAATGTTTGGGAAGTAGAAGGGGTCTCAGTTTTTAATGTGCTTTCCTTTAACTATTGTGAGAGCAAACATTTTTATGTTTCTTGATCATTTGGATTTCTTTTTTGCTTTTGGTGAGGAAGAGTCTCTCTGAACTACCATCCATTGCCAATCTTCCCCTTTTTTTGCTTAAGAAAGATTAGCCTTGAGCCAACATCTGTGCCAGTCTTCCTCTATTTTGTATGTGGGTCGCTGCCACAGTATGGCTTGACGAGTCGTGTAGGTCTGCGCCCAGGATCTGAACCCATGAACCTGGGCCACTGAAGTGGAGCACACCAGACTTAACCACTATGCCATGGGGCCAGCCCCAGATTTCCTTTTTGAATTGCCTGTTCAGCCCTATATTTTTCCATTGGTGTGTGTGTTTTTATTGTTAATTTGTAAGAGTTAAAGGAGCTCATTTTGAAATATAAATGCTTTTTCTGACCCCAATATAAAATGGAAGTTTTCAGATACATTTCTATTTTATCAGCTGTGGGCAAGTGCAGTTAGAAATCTGAGTGCGAATAGGGGCTGCTGCTTTTTAATGGTTAATTCTTTAAGGAGATTTTGAATGACCATATAATAACAGTACTTAAAAAATGTTTTGGACATTTATTGTCCCTTCTTATGCTCTGCAATAATTTTTCTTGGAATAACTTGTTAATTTTTTTAAAATTTTAATTGTGGTAAAATACACATAAAATTTATCATCTTATACATTTTAAGCATACACTTCAGTAGCACTAAGTGCATTCACATTGTACTTCTATCACCACCATCCATCCATAGAACTGTTCTCATATTGCGAAACTGAAACTCTGTCCCCATTAAACAATAACTTCCCATTCCCCTCTCTCCCCAGCACTTAACAACTGCTATTTGACTTTCTGTCTCTATGAGTTTGACTACTCTGTACTCTAGGTTCCTCATGTAAGTGGAATCATACAGTATTTGTCCTTTTGTGACCAGCTTATTTCACTTAGCGTACTGTTTTCAAGGTTCATCCATGTTGTAACATGTATCAGAATTTCTTTTTAAGACTGAGTAATATTCCATTGTATGTATATACCATTTTGTTTATCCATTCATCTGTCCATGGATACTGGATGATACCTTGGTTGTGGAGAGACATTCAGGATAAATTAAGTGAAAATCAGGTTACAAAACAGAAGTAATATGATCTAAGTTTTGTAAAATTACGTAGATAAAAGTTCTGGAAGAATAATGAATAACATCAATAATGATTATCTCTGGGGATTTAGGATGTTTTGCTTATATATATTTCCTCTTTTCTCTGCAACATACATGTATTGCTTGTGTAGTTAAAATTAGTAAAGGAGGTAAAAGTTAATGTAAATGTTAAATATTATGGATACCTTCAAAATATGATAACTGTTTCATTGGCAGGCAGATGCAATGCTTGTCCATTGGTGGAAACCATGTGGATCTTTACTGTTATGGATACCTTCAAAATATAACTGTTTCATTGGCAGGCAGATGCAATGCTTGTCCATTGGTGGAAACCATGTGGATCTTTACAGTTCTTGCAGTAATTAGGACCTAAGATGACTCTGGGACTAAATTATATCTGTTGCCTATCTTTTAGGAAGGCTATTTTTGATACACCAGATGAGGATCCAAACTACAATCCACTACCTGAAGAGCGGCCGGGAGGCTTCGCCTGGGGAGAGGGCCAGCGCCTTGGCGGTTAAAGTGGCAGTGCCAATAACGAGACCCCGCTGGGGAGGACTTGGTGACACACCCATTGGGATTCTTTTATCCTTTGTATTGCAAAAGTGTGGACACTTTTGACAGCTTGACGGATTTTAACTCCAGAAGCACTTTATGAAATGGTACACTGATTAATCCAGAAGACATTTCCAACAGTTTGGCCAGTGGTTCCTCACTACACTGGTACTGAAAGGGTAGTCGCTTGGAGCCAAAAAACTGGAGAAACAGACACCCTGCCACCTCTAACGAACAAGTACATGAGTACTTGAGTTCTGTGGGATAGGCAGAGCTTTCTCCTCCTCTTCTTTGGTAGATGAGGCCATGGTGTAAATGGAAGTTTCAGAGAGGACAAAATAAAACTGAATTCCATCTCTCTCTCACTGAATTAAAGCTTTTGTGTGTGATCTTTTAAATTATGATACTGTATTCTAGCTCTCCTGCATAGGTCTGAGCTCAGAGCAGTTTACTATGCCCGCTCTTCCTGTGTCTTCACAGCTTTTGACTGGATTTCATTTCACCATTGGAAGTATGTGGCTGTATACACATCTGACTAATTCAGAATGCCAGCTCCAGTAGGAAGAAGATTTAGTTCTGTTGTCTAGGTAGTTTGTTCTCTGTCTGGGTTTTGCAGAACTTCAAGTTGTCATATAGTGTGGAAGAATGGGGGAGGGTGGTTCTTGTGGCAGCAGGAATTCAGCTATAGGAGAGTCAGCTATAAGTGGAAAGCTAGTATGGCATCTGCTTGCATTTCTCCAGTAAGAAATATCTAAGGAAAGACAGGTAATAGCCACATTTTTGGAAAACAACAGGAAGATCTTCTTTCAATCTGGAAAACAAGTTAGAGTGTTGACTTTGGAGCCAGATAAACAGGTAGCAGTTAGGCAAGGATCCATTTCTCCTGGGTCTTTTGCTGGTTGACCTTTGACATTTGCTTCATGAAAAGCCAATGAATTTTACCTGGTGTACCTTCCCAATCAGGCAGAAATTTTACAGGGTCTGCAGAAGTAGGCAGTTAATGCCTGTGGTTCAATAAATACCTAAAATATTAACTTCCCTTAGTTTCAACAGGTTTGCGTTCACACTGCTTAAGTAGTTCAGAGAACCCAGAGGAATAAAACGGATACCCCCAGGGAAGAGATTATTTATTTCAAACAGTTTTCATAAATAGCATGTAGGCACAGGATCTACATGTTCCCACTAGTTCCAGCTCACTTAAGTGGTAGCTTCCTAGAGTGTGAGATTTTCCTCAGAAAAATGGACATGAGGTTTAGATTAAACATAGTAAAGAACCTAAGTGGGAATTTTTGGATTGTTTGTGAAAAGTATTTTAATATCTTTAAATGGAATATGCATAAGTAATGGAATTTAATATACATATTTTACATGTTGCTAGTCAGTAACTTTGAACATGATTGTTGCAATTTTATGGAACTTGGGATAATAGGACTGCTTTTTTCTTCTAAGTGGTTTTAAAAAATCTTTGAAGTTTAAATGCCAATCTTAGAATGTATAATCCTTATGGGATTCTGAAATTTTGTCATATCTTGTTTGTTCAGGAAAGCTTGAATTTAATTAGAAGGGTTTTTTTTTAATGTTTATTTTGGGGCTAGAAATAGGTTTCTCTAGTTTTATTTGTTCTCCCTTAGTTAACTTTGAGTTATCCAATTCATGAAACTTTTGTGGTAAAATTTTAATCCTAAAATCTGTTCACTGTTCATTTAAGTAGGGGATGTCTGTACATATTAATGACTGGGTAAATAGGGAACAAGTTTTGAATTGATGGCGTAAACACAGTCAGTTATGGGATTTTTGTTCCTCTGCTTTGTGGGATAAGAGCTCCTCGTGGCAGGATGTGCTGCTGTGCCACTGCACTGCGTCCTGGTCAGTGGTGATTTCAGCCACTGACCTCTTACCAGTTTGGCTGGTCCCACTGCCATCATCCCTGGCCCTGTGTTGCTTAACAGGATACCTAGGCTGCCCTGGACGTAAGGAAGAGTCCTCACTTCTTCCCAACTTACCTTTCGATCTTAATTCTCCCAGAACACACTTCCTTTTCATAATGCCAGTCAACTGAAAAGTGAGATTTGATAGATGGCATTTTGTAACCACTGACCTGACATACATATAATTTAAGGGATTCCTGGATTCTACCAGTAATACTGAAAAGCACACCTGACTAAAGCATAGGTTTTTTTTGTTGTAGAAATACAGTATATGTTCATTTTTTTTAAAATGGACATGCAAATTGCATCTCCCTAGGAGATTAATTTTATATACATTTTGGTGTGTTTTTCTCACTATCGATTTCTATTTGTTTCTCTCTTCCACTTGTTCTTTTTCCGTGTCACTCTTGTATTTCCTAATATCTTTCATACCTCTTATGTAGTCTCTCCAAGCAGAGAGCACCCAGGTCCTGCATCTTGGTAATGAAACCCTCACTCTGTCTGTGGGGCCTATGAAAATTAGGAAATATTAGAGCTATTGCCATGTTGGGTAAGGGGCTTCCTAGAATTGTCATCTATCCTTGATAGCATTCTATGTTGTGGTTGTGTTTTCCTTTGACAGGTGAGTGCCATCCGTGTTGCTAGTCACAATACTGCCATTGTTTTCAGTGTTCTGTAGGACATCCCCTAAACTACTTGCATATTTTATGAGCATTAAAGTTGTTGAACTTTGTATGATCAAGTTCAAGTGTATGATCACTTCTCTGCTCAGAAATCCACAGTGACTTCTTAGTAAGCCCCCATATCAAATTCATACTTGTTGTCTTCCTCTGAACCTTACTCCCACTTCAACCAAACAGGGACCTCGATATAAGTCTCTTCAGTCCTTCAAGGCCTGGCCCCATTCCTGGCTCCTCAAGAAACCTTGACACTAAGGCCTATTTCATTGTCTTTCTTTTTTGAATCCCTATAAAGCTTCAAGTCTGTATGACATACTCTTACACCAAATTATATATTGTCTTGTACTGTTCCTAGCTGGTACATGTATGGTAGTCTTGTCTCCCTCATGAGAATGTAAGCTCCTTAAGGGCAGGGACCATGTCTTAAATTTTTGTATCCACCACAGTGCCTAGCACAGTGCTTGGCACATGGGTGCTGAATAAATACTTTGTTTATCGATCAGCAAACTATTATCTGGTATTTTTAATTATAGAGGGATTAATTTGTGTGCATGCAAGCTTGTACTTAGTTGCTGAGGCTTATGACTGTCTCAAAGCGGGATGGAGCAAAACTCAACATGATTAAGGGGAGTGGTTTGATGGTCAGACAAGCCAGACCACTGGCTGGTATGGTCATGGTAAGAACAGATAGTTAAGTCCACAGACCATCTCAGTCCAGTTAAGAATGAAATGTGTCTTGACAATATACTGTTTGGAAGAAGACCCCAGATAATGTTTGAATACTTTTTAGCTTGTGGTTGTCTGCATATGAAAGCCACTTAACCACAAGGGACTTTCTTTTGGAGGGATAGCTGGGTCATTAGGCCAGAAATTATGGACGAGTTACCTACATAAGTGGTTTAATTTGCCTGTACCGTTTAAAAAAATTTTTTTTGAGCCAACATTTAAAATTGACGGATTTCACATGAAAATCTTCATTTTTGACTTCTCTTGAAAAAAATGGAAGATCTGGCAATACCAGGCCTGCATGCAGCTATTGCCTAGAGGTAACTAATGACTGCTTCTAGAGACAGGGTATGTGCTCTATCAAGAGATTATTTCACCCATTTATATCACCCACCTGGGCTCTTGAAATCATTTGCAGCATATGTCTCCTGCATTAGGTTACTCGGGAAAGCACACTGGGAAAAAGGGCTGAGGTCTGTCTTTTACATACTCAAGGTCCATAATTTGAGACTTAACATTTAGTTATCGCTATAGTCTGAATGTTTGTGTCCCCCAAAAATTCACTTGTTGAAATCCTAATGCCTGATGTGATGGTATTAGGAGGTGGGGACTTTGGGAGGTGCTTAAATCATGTGGTAGAACCTTCATGAATGGGATTAATACTTTATAAAAAAGCTCCAGCGAGATCCCTAGCCCCTTCCATCATGTGAGGACACAGTAGGCAGGCGGCAGCTTTAACCCAGGAAGAGGGCCCTCACCAGAAGGTGACCGTGCTGGTGCCTTGATCTTGGACTTCCGAACCTCCAGAAATATGAGCAATAAATTACTATTGTTTGTAAGCCACTCAGTCTCCGGTATTTTGTTATAGCAGCCTGAACAGACTAAGTTCTTTTCCCTTTTAGTTTTGAGTTGCCTTTCTAAGATAATACTTAGGGGTAGAAAGTGAAATTTTGTCAATTTATTCTTAAACACATATCTGCTATTAGTTCAATGTGCACATTTTCAGTAACCCCTGGTCACTATACTGTCAGAAACTAGAGGAAAATTACCACTGACCTGGAGGAAAGAGGATTTTTAACAGGTTCACAGATAGGGTGAGTTTCATGGAAATGAACTTCAGAAGATGCCCAAAGTCCTTCACGTGGGTTGAAGCGTATGATGAAATCTCTGGAAATCACATTTCCTGTTTGCAGAGCAAAGAGCTGTTTGCCAGTCTTCCTGTGGCGAATTAGCAAATTATCTAAGAGCTCTGAATTTAGGAGGGTAAGGAGGAACTAGTTATATCCCAGTTTCCCCCTGGAGTTCTGAATCTTTTCATTGGTGTGTGAATGATGGGGCTGGAGGGCCCTGGGGAGAACTTGCCATCTGGTAGGAGAAGCTGGGGAAAGGAAGGGTAAAAGTCAATTTTAGTTCCATTGAACTCCCTCTTTCCGTGCTTGTATTACAGAAGCAGGCCACGTCCATTGGGATAGTCATTTTCTGAGAAGAATATATGATTTTCATAGAATATATATCGTTTTCCTCTTCCGTAACACAAGACGATCACCAGTATCCTTTTCAACATTCAGATTTTGTGACATCTGAATGACTTTAAGTAATCTCAGAGGCTCAGTTTCTTCATCTGTAAATTGGTGATATTTACCATATAACATAAGTAATTTAGAGGATCAAATAATGCAACTATTTGTGTGTTCCTCCTTGACTTTACAAAATTAAGTCCTTTCCTTGAAAAGCGAGTATTATTGTGGACAAGGGAAAACGCGTGTTTACCGGAAAGAGTGTTACCAGAACAATAAAACAGTCAAGGAGAAAAGATTCTCATTATCCAAGGTTAAGGTCCCACGCAACGGCACACTCTGTCTTTTGCTGTTGTCGCCCTGGGCCTTTTTTCCGTTGTACCGTAGACGCTGCTCACCCCGCCCTCAGGAAGTGAAAGCCTTCCCAAGCTCCCAGTGCATGCTGGGAGTTGCAGTCTCGTTCCTAAAAGCTGGGGTGGCCGTGAGGTCATCGACGGTCGCCGGGAGCCGCCAGCACGTGGCGGGAAGGGGCGGCGCGCGCTAGCTGTCTGGTCCAGGGAGCGGCAGCAGCTGCGCGCCCTCGCGCCTCCCGTCGCGGTGCCCTCCCGACATGCCCGAGGAGGCGGGCTTCCCGCCGGCCAAGAGATTCCGGCCGGCCTCTGGGCCTCCGAGCCGCGCCGGGCCCTGTCCTCCCGGGAGGCGAGTGGTAATGCTGTTGACTGCGGGCGGCGGCGGCGGCGGCGGCGGAGGAGGCCGGAGGCAGCAGCCGCCCCTGGCCCAGCCCTCGGGCAGCCCCTACCCCGAGGCCGTGGAGCTGCAGCGCCGGAGTCTGCCCATCTTCCAGGCGCGGGGGCAACTTTTGGCCCAGCTCCGGAACCTGGACAGCGCCGTCCTCATCGGTGAGTGGCCGGCCGCGCGGGCGAGTCCTTCCTGGCTCCCCGCTCCTGGCTCTGCGGGAACAGTTTTTCTTAGGTGCCTTTCACCCCTTTTATTCGTTTCTACAACAAATCTGACCGCTTTTTCTGTGCCAGGCCCGGAGAGGGGCCTCGGGGAAGAGTCGGACAGCCCAGCCCTGGAGGTGCTCACAGCCCAGTGGGAGTGACCGACGTGTTAGGCAAAGACTCACCTTCCGTGTGAAAGGGTAGAGTGGTGTACCGGGGGCTTTGGGAGCCTAGAGCAGTGGGTCTGAGCCAGTCTGGGAGAATGCAGCGGGGGAGGTGGTCCCTGAAGGAGAGCAGTCTGCCCAGAGGGGAGAGCCTGCAGCGTGGGAAGCGAAGTGGAGGCGAGAAACAGTTCGTTCTGTCGGGAAGTAGTAGTTTCTGTTGCATGAACTAAGAGGCAGAGTTGTGGGTCGAGGACTGATTGCAAGGGGCTTTGATCCCTGATGTTTAAGTAAGGGGCGCTCCTGGAGGACGGCGAGGATGAGCCTGCAAAGAGGGGACGGAGACCCAGGAGAGCAGTAGTCGCAGCAACAGAGTCGTAAGAAGGGAGTGAACAGATGGCAGCAATGAGGTCCAGTAATACAAAGACTAAAAAAATGCCCACTGGATTTGGATGTGAGGTGTTGATTGTGGATCCCATTGAGCACCATTTCAGCAGAGCTGTGGGGGATAGGAGGTGATTTGTCACTGGGCTGAGGAGTAAGTAGGAGGTGAGGGAATGAAGGCAGTGAGAGCAGGCTTCTGTTTTAAGAAAAAGCAGGAAGGGGGCTGAGAACTTACAAGTATTCATAGGTTGAGGGGAAGAACTCAGTGGAGAGGGAGGCTGAAGGTGGAAATTGGGCACTAACAGAGCAGAGCCCAGGGGCTGTGGGGAAGGGAGGCACTTGGCAGCAACGGCTAGATTCACAGTGGCCTGGAATACAGAGAAGGATGTTCAAGAGGCTGGGGGCTGGAGAAAGGAGGTAAGAATGGGAGTGACTGCAGAAAAGCTTGCAGGGAGAGGTAGAGGGAGATCACATTTGAGGACTTCACTTGTTCTATGAAGTAGGCACAGGAGCTCTGCTGAGAATGGGAGTCACAGGGCCTCAAGTAGCCCCTTGGGGAGGATGGGGACAGAAGACAGGCTGCAAAAACAAGAAGAGGATCGATAGTAGTGCTGGTGCCCAGGTGCATTTGGCCCCACTACAAACTCAGGTCTTCATCCGCACAGTTGGGTTATTTTATTTTAGCGATGCTCAGTTGCCTGGTGTAGGAGCAGAACAGATGGATAGGGAGACATTGATCCAAGTTTGGGGTTTTGCCTGGTGGGTTCAGTAGGAGGAGTGGAGAAGAATCAAATTCTTAGTCCATGATTCTTGTCTAGGTCAGGAAGGATGAGCAGTCAGAGGGGAGAAAATATGAATAATGGGACTGGAGGACTCTGAGGTCAGAGAGGTGTAGTGGTAGCAAGAGAGGGGAAGCGCGCACAGGTTTACTGAGTTCTTTGTTCTAATTAGGCACTGCTAAAGGAACCCCCAGAGGGTAGGAATAACATTGGGTGCTTACTGTATGCAGGATGTTCAAGTACATGGAAGAGACAGACAAACTTTCTCTGCCTTGTAGGAGCTTCTGATACAGAAACGTTTAAACATTTCCACACAATTTGGGGTGGTCAGTGCTGACAGAGAGATGAACAAGGCACTAAGGAACACAGCAGAGGCCACCAGTGCGGCCCCAGGGGAGAGAGTTTGAGGCTTAACTCATCCTATAGAGTTTGTCAGCCAGACAGCTTGAGAGCAGGTATTTCATAATAGTGTGGGCAAAGGCAGAGGGTTTGCAAGAAAGCAGCAGGCGAGGGAATGGTAAGGAGTTGGTTATGGCTGCAGTGCATGAGCGCATGTCTCTTCGTGTCAGAACGTGTAAATCTCCTTTATTCTTTTGAAAGGTACAACATCATTTTTATATAGCAGTTGTATTTCATTTTATGTTTTTACTACACTAGTTACCTAGTTACATTTATATTATTTCCAGTTTTTTGCTGTCATGAGCAAAGTTGAATAAAACATTTTTGAAGCTATATTTTTATACGCATCTTTAATTATTTCCTTAGTATCAATTCCTGCAAGTGGAACTGTGGGTCAAAGGGTATAAACTTTTTAAGGATTTTTCTAATATAATTTGACCTTCCCGGAAACAGTGAACACTCCACCAGCAGTATACATGAATGCCCATTTTCCTGTGGCTTTATCAACTTCGAGTATGGAGTATTCTTTATTATCTTTTCCTTCTGACTTTGGTGACATTTGTTTCAATTTGCATTTAAATGAGACTTTTTTCTTTCCTAGGGGAAACTGGCTCTGGGAAGACGACTCAGATCCCTCAATACCTGTATGAAGGGGGCATCAGCCGCCAGGGCATCATTGCCGTGACCCAGCCTCGCCGAGTGGCTGCCATCTCTCTTGCTACTCGGGTCTCAGATGAGAAGAGAACTGAACTCGGGAAGCTGGTACCTAATTTCCTTCTTTACTAACAGTTCTCGCCCCTCTACCCACCACCCCGTGACCCTACCTTTTATTTTTCTGAACAAGACTTCTTATACATAGCAAACTTCTTTCTTGCCACAATTGTTTAGGCCTATCTCAGAGTTTTTGGATTTTTTACATCAGTTCCTGAGAGATGAGTGGGTCTGACAGGTTATCATTGCCATTTGCTTTGCTTTCAAAATCTGTTGGCAAGTTGGATAACTTAGTTGTTTTCCTTAAGCATTTTTAAGGCTTCAGTAAGCTCTATTAAATCTCTGATGTATATATCTTTCTAAAATACTGTAAGCATTTTTCTAACAAATATGTGGGTTTTGAGAATGAGTCCCAGGGGCCAGCCCCGTGGCTTATCGGTTAAGTGTGTGCACTCCGCTACTGGCGGCCCGGGTTCGGATCCCGGGCGCGCACTGACGCACTGCTTCTCCAGCCATGCTGAGGCCGCGTGCCACATACAGCAACTAGAAGGATGTGCAACTGTGACATACAACTACCTACTGGGGCTTTGGGGGGAAAAAAAAGGGAGGAGGATTGGCAATAGATGTTAGCTCAGAGCCGGTCTTCTTCAGCAAAAAGAGGAGGATTAGCACGGATGTTAGCTCAGGGCTGATCTTCCTCACAAAAAAAAAAAAAGAGAGAGAGAATGAATCCCAGAACTGTATATAAGTCAAATTTATTTGTGTTTGTGTTTACACATTTCACTTAAAAGCATCTTGGACATCTTTTCATATCTGTACATAGCTTCACTTGAAGCTATTAAGTAACTGGGGGAAGGAGGCTAGTTTTAAATTCTTTGTAATGCTCATCGTAATTGCAGTTAAAGGTACATGTCTGTCGTCTGTGTCTGCCACCGGCCTGCATGCTCTCGAAGGAGCAGGGCAGATGGATGTTGATCTTGTTCACCGTAATAATGCAAGTGCCTGGCACAGTGCTAGTTACATAGTGGGTGTTCAACAAGTGTTTGATGAATGAATGATTTCTCTGCACAGGTTGGCTATACAGTGCGCTTCGATGATGTCACCTCAGAAGACACCAGGATCAAGTTCCTGACAGATGGCATGCTTCTGCGTGAAGCAATTTCAGACGCCCTGCTTCGGAAGTACAGTTGTGTCATTTTGGATGAAGCCCACGAACGGACTATCCACACAGACGTGCTCTTTGGAGTGGTGAAAGCTGCACAGAGGAGGCGAAAGGAACTGGGGAAGCTACCTCTCAAGGTAGGCACAGCAGGCTTTAGGAAAGAGGCCTGTGTTTCTTCTTCAGCGTGTTCCCCTTCACCCAACTGCTTCAGAACCGGGGAGAAAGTTAACCGTGACAGGAGTGGCACAGGCCTCATCATCTGCTTTTAGGGCTTGGGAGGGACACGGAAAGGCTGTCCCGATGTTGTGTCCCATCCTCCCCTCCATCTCGTCTGTAGGTGATTGTCATGTCAGCTACGATGGACGTGGACCTGTTCTCTCAGTATTTCAATGGAGCCCCCGTCCTCTACCTGGAGGGTCGGCAGCATCCAATCCAGATTTTTTACACCAAACAGCCTCAGCATGATTACCTGCACGCCGCACTAGTCTCAGTCTTCCAGATCCACCAGGTATGGAACGGGTGCAGATTCCTGAAAAGGTCTGTTTCACCTTGTAGCTGATAGAGCACTCAGCCTGACAAAGCAAAGCTACTGAATGAAACAACTTTGTGAGTTGTTATCATTAAGATGAATATTTCTATCCTTTTTTATGGTTTCTCTTATTTTCTCTAAAAAGAAAAATAATTCCACTCTGACCAGCATCTTTCCCAGCTGAGCCAGAAAACTTCCATATGTTAGAGGAGTGGCTTACAAAGTTTTTTGGGTCGTAACCCCCAGTAAGAAGCACATTTTATGTTGCAACCTAGTACACAGTATGTATAACGGAAATAAGTCATGAAACACTGTCTCCTTTACTACATGTGTCCTCTGATATTTCCTACTTCCTTTTAAAAAACCCAATGATGGGTTCCAATTTAGAGTTTTCTTTTTGGGGAAAAAAAAACTATATTAGAGAAACATTTCAAAATCTCTTCTCATTTTATTAAACATGTAGTGAAAAATTTGAGTGATTCTCACCTCATTTTTGTTTAATTTATATAAGATTGACTGTTTTTACCTTCCCATTAACTTTCTGAAAAAATTTAGAGGCATATTTTTTTTAATTAATTTTTATTTTACGCTAAATAATGCATGTGTAGTTTAAAGTTGACAAAGTCAAGTAGTTAATTCTAAACGGCTCATAAAAAACAGCAGTTGCTTTTCCTTCCGCATCCCATATCCTGCTCTTTAGAGTAACCACTTTCAATTTCTTAGCTATTTCCCCAGATATTACTTTCATAGTTCTAAAATAACCCCCATCTCTTCCATCTTTCAAAAATGAGTTGAGGGCTGGCCCCGTGGCTTAGCGGTTAAGTGCACGCGCTCCACTCCTGGCGGCCCGGGTTCGGATCCTGGGTGTGCACTGACGCACTGCTTCTCCGGCCATGCCGAGGCCGCGTCCCACACACAGCAACCAGAAGGATGTGCAGCTATGACGCACAACTATCTACTGGGGCTTTGGGGGAAAAAATAAAATAAATAAAATTAAAAAAAAAAAAAAAAAAGAGTTGAAACTTCTGATCTCTTCTGTTGTCTTCTGCCATCGTCTTTGTCTTAATGGGCTTATACCTTCACTGTCATTTTGATAGTATTTGGAGAAGGTGGATCTGCCTTGTTTAACTGCTACAAGCAAACTTGAGGTGAGGATTTCTCGTGAATGATGCCTGCAGGTGCATTCAGGTGACATGGTGGCTTTGATGAGTCCTCCCCTTGATGAAGCTTTGACTGTTTTAGATTTTAGCCTGTATATTTGTACCTCTGAACATTTGTCCTGGTAATACCAGGGTAGAAAAAATACGTGCACACACACATAATATATATATTTATATATATAGATGTTATGTATGCACATATGTACACATGCACACACATATATAATTATTATTACTCTTAAACATTTTTTCAATTATTTTGCCACTCAAGCACTTTACAGATTAATGGATCTGAACAGACTTCAAAGAAAGCTCAGGTGACTGGGTGTGTCCTGAACACTTGTATGTTCTTCCTTTGCAAGGGGAAGAACCCACTTAACCTCAGGGTCTCAAGTGCGTGTCTGAGTGCAGTGTGCCCTTTGGCTGTGTGGAAGTGCTTTTGGTGGCGTCATTGCATAAGGGCTGCTCCTGGCATTTCCATGGAGCAGGATTTCCCTAAGTTATCTTCTCTTTTGTCAGCTTCAACTTTCAAGATGATTATGAAAAGAAGGAAGCTTTATGCAGATTTTCTTTGCTTGCCTGAGTGTGCTTTTCATGGTATTGTTCTTATTGCAAAAGCAGTCTGGTGATTTTCCTTCAAAATTTCCTTAATTGGTTTTTAAACATAGCTGGCTAACTTGCGTAAGTTACAGCTTTATGCTTTATTGGTAAGGGTCTTCTCCCAGGGGAAGTACCAACATCTAGGCTCATTTACATCTCCACAGTTAAGAAAAATAACTCTGGGAAACCTCATCAATGATGATTGCTTTTTTTTCTGTGCAACCTGCACTTCTATCAACGCCTGGTAATTCCACTCTACCTTTTTTATAGGAAGCCCCTTCTTCTCAGGACATCCTGGTGTTCCTGACTGGTCAGGAGGAGATCGAAGCAATGAGCAAGACCTGCCGAGACATCGCGAAGCACCTCCCAGACGGCTGCCCTTCCATGCTTGTCCTTCCTCTGTACGCCTCCCTACCCTACGCCCAGCAGCTCCGCGTCTTCCAGGGGGCCCCAAAGGTGAGTGCACCGCCTCCCCTGTCCCAGCCCCATCCCTGGGCACCCAGATGGGTCCCCCCGTGCAGCCTATAGGTCTGTCACCAGACTCCGGATAAGGTGTGTGGGATGGGATGCTCAGATATACTCGCTGAAAAGCTGCAGGAATATAATGTAGCTACAGATACAGCTCTTCCGTGTTAAGAACGGGGGAGCAGCTGTCGGGATGGGGGGAGTGCAGAGGCAAAAGCTGAAAGGTAAATGAGTGACTCTTCTAAGGACCAACATAAACAAGCCACATTTGTCCGTAATACATTTACGGGGTGCCCGTGCTGTGCCAGGCACTGTGCTGACACTTTACATACACTGTCTCTCACCCTCTCGAGAACCAGCAAGGTAGGTTATGATCCCATTTTATAAACACTGAGGCCCCAAGAGGTGAAGTTACCATTGCTCAAGGGGCATACGCTAAGTAATTGTCAGGACCAGGAGTCCAACCCACGTCTACCTGCTTCTGTATCTTGTGCCTGTTCCACTGCATCTCATCGCCTCAAAACAAGCTTTTAAGACTGGAACATCCCCTGCCCCCAAGCAATTTAATGACTGACCATCCATGTTAATAACTGTCATTAATAACAAAGTCATCTTTTCTTGATCGTGAGTGAATTGTGGAAATTAACGGTGAGGAATATGTTTTAAAACTTCTGAATCATATGTGTGTCATATGGTTTTTTGGTTTTCTTCCTCCTTTTAGGGCTATCGCAAAGTGATCATTTCAACCAACATCGCTGAAACCTCCATAACCATTACAGGAATAAAATATGTAGTTGACACGGGCATGGTTAAAGCAAAGAAGTATAACCCTGGTGAGAATTTGTAGCTCGTGACTGTCTCTTCTGTGTGTAGTGAGCATCTGTGGAGTTTCCCGTAGTCCCACGGTGTCCCCCAAATGAGCATTTCATGGTTGTAACTGAGATTGGGGTGGCAGGCACCACAAGCGAGATGAGAGTGAGGCCCAGAAGGGAGACCCGAGGCGGGTATGTAGACAAGAAGGCAGGTGGGAAAGAGGAGCCCAGGTTTAGCAAACTTGGGAACAGAGGATCAGGGACCTGGGCAGAGTCTGAGACCCGTCAGAAGTTGGGTGGGAATGGCAGCTCTAAAGCCAGGGACAGCCTGACACCACATCAGAAGTTCTCGTCAGAAATAAGGGTTGAGCATGGTTGGTTTGAGCTCCAGGTTTCCCAGGAAGGAAACAGACCCCTAGGCTGGGGTGAGACCCTAGCAATTTCCTGAGACTATGTAATGGGAAGCTTGCTTAAAGTCATTTTTCTTCATGGCTATTTTATATCTTGCTTTATTCTACAGAGGATTTGAGGTAGCTGAAATTATCGCTCCCAAATGTTTAATTGAAGTGCATTACTAAGCGTTCGAGTGTGCTGGCTTTCACATGTGTATCTCTCGGGGATAATGTATGTGAAAGGGCTTGGTTCTCCAGTGCCTGGCACAGAGTACACCTTTATCAGGAAAATGAGTCTCATTTACTCCCAGGAGTCACAAGATCACATTGTCTTTCTTTTATAATGGAGGTGGGAAGGAGGATACAGCGCACAGGGGACTGGAGGCATTTCATTTCCGAGTCATTGATTGATAAGGTGACCAACATCCTAGTTTGCTGGCACCTGTCCTAGTTTTAGCACTGGGAGTCCCGAGTCCTGGGAAACCCCTCAGTCCTGGGCGAACGGGAGTGGTTATCACCCGTGATCTAAGCCAAGACCCCTGAAATCTGCTCTCCTGGGCCCCTGCTACGAGCACGAGGTTTTTCTCTTGTTACAGTAACAGGTCTCACAGTGTTCATTGCAAGGCCTCGGTTCACTGCAGAGCAGCCTGCTTTCGTGCTTTCCGCTTTAGCCTTGAGTTTTTCTGGACTCATGCACTGCAGAAAGGATCACTGGTGTTCTGAGGCTTCTTTTTGTCCACACTGTAGAAAGTTTATGTGCTGAGTGAAGCGCTGATGTGGGCCATTCTCCCTGCAGACAGCGGCCTGGAGGTGCTAGCTGTGCAGCGGGTGTCCAAGACCCAGGCCTGGCAGCGCACAGGACGGGCTGGCAGAGAGGACAGTGGCATCTGTTACCGGCTCTACACGGAGGAGGAGTTTGAGAAGTTTGAGAAGATGACTGTGCCAGAGATCCAGAGGTAGGCCTGAGGTGCTCCTGCACTCCTGCCACCGTCCCCGCGTCTCCCTTTCCTACTTGCTGTGTCTTCCCGGAGCTGGGGTTGTCACTAACACACCTCCGTGGACGGCTCTGACTCGCCGCCTGGAGGATCAGGGACAGATGGACGAGCCCATCTCTCACTCTTCACAGGTGTAACCTGGCGAGTGTGGTGCTGCAGCTCCTCGCCATGAGAGTCCCCAGCGTGCTCACCTTTGACTTCATGTCCAAACCCTCCCCGGGTAAGTGGCGTCTTCAGTGTAGTGGAAGGTATCCAAGGAGACAAACAGCAGCAAATGGACGCTCCCAAAAAGTGTTTGGGTGGTCTCCTTTTGTTTAGTCTAATTTGGTGGATGACAACATTAACTGTCGGAGAAGAAGCTCCGAAGTGTGAAAGGGGAGAGGCTGTGCTTTCAGCACCCTCCTGCTGCAGAAGTAATGGCTTCACATGGGCACTCACCGTTGCGTTCCTCGACCGCCAGAACCAACAAAGGTAGTCGAGGGGGTCCATGGGATCCTGCAGAAACCTAACAAAATTGTACTTCTGCCAGCAAAAGGACTGGAAAGATCAGTTTCTTTGCTTTTGACTAGAATTTGATCGGTTCCTGCCCTTCTTTAATAAGCTCTCCACGGAGAAAACAAAAATAATTGGGATTCTTGATGATAGCTTTGGCACTTGGAATCTCCTCAACGTGCCATTTTCCTTTTTTTTCCTCTCTGTCTCTTTTTTAAGCGAAGAAATGCAATTGGTTAAAAAAAAAAAGGTAAACAGTTGTTGGGTGTACAAGGGTTCCACCCCTGATCTTCAGGTTCTTAGCTTCCCGCCCCTAGAGCAACCACTGTGGCCATTTTCTGGTTGTCTTCTACAGAAGATCTGTGCATGTACAAGTATAGATAGTCTCTTAAAACGCAAATAGCAACACACATCGTGCACCGCTCTACATGTTATTTTTTCTTTTAATTGCTGAATGCCTACGTATAAAGGAAGGACATACGTAAGGCAGAAGGGGTAGTAAAACCACACCTGTGCCCCCCATTCCCAGTGCCCTGGAGCCCCCAGCCCCTCCCAGCCCCCCTCTTCCTTCCCTCCCCTCGGGGTCACTGCCTCCCACATTTGTTTGTAATTTCCTTGTTTCTCTTTGATGTTTTGTTCTATGCCTGTGTGTCCCTAGACAACATGTTGTTTCAGTCCGCGTGTTTACGTGTTGATTCTTCAATAACCTTCCCTTTTCATTCATCATGTGTTGTAAGGTTTATTTGTGTTGGTGCATTTTCATGACTAAATACTATTCCAGTCTGTGAATAAACTAGAATACATTTATCCATTCTCTGATCAATTGAGACATTTACACACTGGTTTTTTCAGTTAATATATTTCATTTCCTCTCAGTATGTATATATTTATTACCTCCTTAGAAATGCTTCTTTCTTCTTTGATAGGTAATGCATTTACATGGTTCAAAATTCAGAAAGAATAAAATGGTAAATAGTAATTGGTGTCCTTCTCACCGGGGCCTCTGAGCACCTGCTGTCTCCATTGTGTGTGTGCGGCTAGAGGTGCAGGTCCCCGTACATGTATGAGTATATGTGTGGGTGACATTCCGAAGTGTCATGTGGCTGGGTGTAGAATTCACATACATATTGCCAAATTCCAGACCACTGCTTTAAAAGAGAACTGAACTGAAGACAGTTCATTAGCAGCTTTGGAGGTCATTAGCAGCTTTGGAAAGTGTGTCATGGGGGCAGTGGTGGTTGGGCTCTTTGCTGTGGTTTGATGTAGAGTCATCAGAAGCTCCGCCACATACTGAACTAGCTGCAACTTCTTCCTTTTCTGAATTTTTAGCTCCCTTCTATGTCTCTGTTTCTTTAGATCACATTCAGGCAGCCGTGGCCCAACTGGACCTGTTAGGAGCTCTTGAACATAAGGACAACCAGCTGATCCTGACTCCAATTGGAAGGAAGATGGCAGCATTTCCTCTAGAACCCAAATTTGCCAAAGTAAATGATCCCCTCTCCTCAGTCCCCTTTCTATACATTACAGGTTAGCCATCCCAACGTAGACTCCTAAATCCAGGGCTTCTAGATCAGTCTTCACTTTTTCTCTGAAATGATTACCAGCCCCTACTTTGTGTCTGACACTGACTTATGTTCTGTGTGGGATTCAAACTCGTATAAAGTCACGAGCCCTCCATATGGAATTTGGAATCCTGCAGGGAAGGCAGTCATCTGTTTCACAAAAAAAAAAGTACAGTAACATTAACATACAGTCATGGTTTTAGAAACACCTGCCCTTTAACTCCTTAGAAGGGAAGCTGCAGAATCAATACAGAAATACTATATTCAGAAGCTAGGAAGAAACTTGGTTTACACAGTTGTTAATTTTGATTTGCAGACCATCCTCCTGTCCCCCAAATTCCACTGTACAGAGGAGATACTGACCATTGTCTCCCTGCTGTCTGTGGACAGTGTTCTCCACAACCCGCCCTCCCGGCGGGAGGAAGTGCAGGGTGTGCGGAAGAAGTTCATCTCCAGCGAGGGCGACCACATTACCCTGCTCAACATCTACCGGACCTTCAAAAACATAGGCGGAAATAAGGTAAGCTTCCCTCTCAGACGACGCCTCCTTTGGGGCATGGGATTTAAGACCACCTTCCCTTTTTGGCTGAATTATCTAAGGAGCCACAAAAAGAATGCCAGGTGCCGTTTCAGAAACGTCTGCACACGGAGATGACCAGGGAAGACGGGTAATTCCAGCCTTTCGCTCTGCTAGTGTTTAACTCACACTTAACGTGGGCAAGTTCAGTATTCAGTGTATAAGTATACTTACACTTCAGTGTAAGTATTTGGTGACCCAATTTCTTAGCTACAGAGTGATTTTTTTTCCCTACCTGCCCGTAACTTTCTTCATAGTAGTTTTTGCTTCTTTGATATTTCAGTTCCTTGGACCAAGATGGAAAACAGCAATATATTGTTTCATTTCTCAATAAAATCAGTAATTGTTCTGTAGTCCACATGCTTTAACTTTGTCTGCATTTTAATGCAGTCAATTCTTTAAAAAAAAAAAAAGCCACCACCCATTTTTAGCAGTTGTAAACAATTTGCTATATTTGCCTCAGTTTATTTTTAAGGAAATAAAATGCTGTAGATACGGTGAAAGCCCTGCTCTGCTCCTTTCCCAGTCCTTCCTCCCTGGCGTCGCCACTGTCCTGAAGTGGGCCTGAGTTCCCAGGGGCGACAGCGTACCTTCACTCTGTGTCCTGTGCAGTGTACTGGAGACGCTCCCTCACCCGCCCCTTTCGCAGCTTGCTCCCACTTCCAGCACCTCAGCGAGCACCCTGGGCGGGTCTCCTTGTGCACAGCGGGGAGAGTGTCTCTGGGGCCGACACCCAGAGTGGGCCTGCTGGTCTTGGGGTAGCTGCATGTGGCTTGTGGCTCCCCAGAGCTGTCACCACCTCTTCATACTCCCCATGGTACTGTCTGAGAGCCTCCATTTCCACCATCCTCTCCAACTCTTAGTCAAAACGACTTTAATTTTTGCCAAGTTGGTAGATATGAAATAGTATCTCGGTTATAGTTTAGACGACATTTCCATGATTCCCCACGAGACTGGGAATCCTCATGTCAGTTATTGATCATGTGCAGTTCCTCTTCTCTGAGTCATTGTTCATATCCTTTATCCACTTTTCTACTGGATTGTTGGTCTTTTTCTTATTGATTTGTAGGAGTTCTTTATGTATTCTGGAGGTACTCATCCTTTATTGGGTGTAGTGATACAGATATTCCAGTCTGTAGGTTTTTTCTTGGTGACTTGACATAAGGAAATGTTTAGTTTTACTTAAGTTTAAATTATTAATATTTTCCCTTATGGTTCGTGATTTTGATATATATTTCTTATATTTATTTTTGGCAACTGAAGTTTTCCCTCCGAATTCAGTTGATATTTTTTTTTCTCTTGTAGAAATGAGAGGATTGTGATATCTCTTTTTCTCCTCTTCAGGATTGGTGCAAAGAGAATTTTGTCAACAGCAAGAATATGATGCTGGTGGCTGAAGTCAGAGCACAGCTCAGGGATATCTGCTTAAAGGTACTGTTTCTTCCTGGTGTGTTTTTGGGTAGTAAGCTGTCACTTTTTTCTAGGTGAAAAATTTTTAATTGCTTATTGCTATTGATTACAAAAGAAACTCTCATTGAAGGAAAACTTTAAGGAAGAAAGTAAAAATTACCCACAATTCCACCTCTCACCATTATGATTTATTTCCTCATGGCCCTGTATTTAAATGCATTTTTTGCATAGTTAGTTACATTGTATGTATAATTTATATTCAGCTTTTATAAACTGTAAAAGCCTTTTCCAGTCTTAATAGAATTCTCAAGATTTTTTTTAGTGGGAATATCTTTGTCATTTTTTTCAGATTATAAAAGCAGTGCATAATTGTTATAAATTGATACAGTGCAGAAAACAGTGATATGTAATGCAGAAAATTTAAAAGTCTCCCATAATCCTGCCCCTCCACTGTTAACAGTCTAGTGTAGATCTTTTTAGAATTTTTTCCTGTGTATGTATGTTTTTGTGTGTATGTCTGTGTGTGTGTGTGTACACATACACATGAACACATATACAAAATTTTCTTCCTAAAACAAATGTGATATACATTTTGTTTTGCAACTTGCTTTTTTCCACTTGGCAGATTTCTTGAGTATTTACTGTGCCTGGGCTGTTTTCAGCGTCTGTATGTGTCTATCTCGTTCTTTTTGGTGACTTCGTATCATTTCATTGTATCCACTACCTTTTATTTAACCAAGCCCCTGGTGCTGATCATTTAGGTTATGCTGTACTGACCATCCTCCTATATATGTATTTGTGCTCTGGTGCACATAAAATGAATTTCTAGATGGGGAATTTAGATTCTGATAGATATTGCCACATCATCCACCAAAAAGGTTTCTGTTAACTTATATTCTCTCTTAGAGTACATGAGGTGGTAAAGTCCTGTCATGTGTGTATTAATGGCTGTGTGACACTCCACATTTTACCTCAGAAGGTGGGGTAGGGCCGGCCCCGTGGCTTAGCGGTTAAGTGCGCGTGCTCCACTACTGGCGGCCCGGGTTCGGATCCCGGGCGCACACCGACGCACCGCTTCTCCGGCCATGCTGAGGGCGCGTCCCACATACAGCAACTAGAAGGATGTGCAACTATGACATACAACTATCTACTGGGGCTTTGGGGGAAAAAAGAAGGAGGAGGATTGGCAATAGATGTTAGCTCAGAGCTGGTCCTCCTCAGCAAAAAGAGGAGGATTAGCATGGATGTTAGCTCAGGGCTGATCTTCCTCACAAAAAAAAAAAAAAAGAAGTGGGGGTAGTTTATGCAAGCGTCTCCTGTTGTTGAGCGCTGAGACAGTGCCCACATTTGCTGTCATAAGCAACTCTGTGGTGAATGTCTTTGTGTGGAAGGCCTCTTCTAAGAGCCCCCTCCACGGTCCTGGGAGCCTCTGCACGTTCCTGGGAGACAGTTGTCGCCTGTACCCAGGCCTGTGTCTGATGCCAGCAGCCTCTTGTTAGCCTACTGTGTTCTGTATTATACACATTTTTCCAAACCCCTCTTGTACTTGATCAGTTTTCCTGCCTGACCAATCCCTTGGCTTCGTGAGTTTTCTCAATTTATTATTGACGGTACAAATGGTGCTCCTCTATTACTTCTGAACTTAAGACTCTTGAGGGTTGATGATGCCTCTCTTTATATGCCAGGCACTGGTCAGAGTCCTGGGGTTTTACAGATGTGCCTAAGACTCAGTGTCTTAAGGAACAATCTGAGGGGAGATCTGACATATGTATAAATGAATAACTCGTGCAAGGAACCAATAATAATGATAATCACCATCGTTTACGCAGCACTTAAGGCCCTGTTCTAAACACTTTTCATGTGATTGCTTTATTTGAAATCCTCTTTACACTCCTCTAAGGTTGATTCTGTTATTAATCCTATTTTGCAAACAATGAAACTAGAGCCTAAGGAAGTTAAGTAATTTGCTCTAAATCGCACACTGAGTGGTGAGGCTGGCAGCCTGGTAGGAGAGACCACATTAGCTGTAGGACTCGGGGGCTTCCTGGAGGTGGTGCCACCTGAGCTACATCTTCACAGATGAGGAGATAAAGAGGGTCTTCATCTGACCAGGATCAGCTGATTGCAAAAAACAAAACCCCTTGAGCATCTTAAAGAGGAAAAAGAGAGATCAAGAGTATCTCAGGGAACCTCCAGGCAGGAAATACTTAAGCTCTAGAGGGACAGGGACACAGGACCAGAAAAGGCCGGCAGGAGCCGGGGCAGCTTTCTCTGGGCCTGCTCGTCCTCTTGTTTTGGCTGCTCTCTGCCTGCTTCCCTCTCCTCGCCTCCTGCCTCGGCACGCGAGGCATTGCTTTCCTCCACCTCCCCTCTCCTCTCTTCTCAAGAGACTAAAGAGATTGGTCAGATTTCCCATGTTCAGCCTCCAAATGCCTGGAAGGGAGAAGCTGGCCCAGAGTGGGTCACCCAGTGTGGTCACCCAGTGTCCACCACTGTGGCCAGCAGGTAAGGTGATGTGACCCACTCAGCAAGCGCTGTGGAGCAAGGAGAGGGACTGATGACTGACCTCTCGCCTCAGGGCGGAGGGGCTTTCTGTCTCCCAGGAGCAACTGGTGAAGGCACAGTCGTGGAACGGGCTAGGGAGGAGAAGGCAGTCGATTTCGGAGGACCACAGGATGCTCAGGATGGCTCATTCACGGCTTCACTATTGGAAGTTTGCATTGTTTTGCTGGGGCAGGAGAGACATTGAAGGTTTCTGAGCAGATGAAGAACGACTGAGCTGTGCTGTAGGACAAGCGGCAGAGTGTGAGCTGAACTGGAGTGAGGAGAGGATGAGTAGTCAGAGGGAGAGGGAAAGCCCTTTGCTTCCTGAGACATCCTGGTGGATGTTTCGGTGAGGGAGTGGGATGCTGGCTCACCCAACCCGTCTGTAGTGTGGCAGCTTAGATGGCTATCTCCCTCCCCGTCCTTCCTCTCCCAGGCTGCACTTTCCCTATTTACAGTCCGCCCTCCTTCAGCTCTGCCTCCGTCCCACCCATGCTGCTCCCCGAGGCATCTCAGGTAACCACCTCCTGTGTCAACCTCCACTTCATTAGGCCTGCACTATGGGCTGTGTTTTAGGTGTGGTTGCTCCAAATACCATGTGCTGCTGAGCAGTAATGTTTGGGCTCTTCCATTTCTCTCTTCCCCCTGAAACAGATGTCAATGCCAATCACATCATCCCGCGGAGACATGGAGAGCGTCCGCCGCTGCCTGGCTCACAGCCTCTTCATGAGCACCGCCGAGCTTCAGCCGGACGGGTCCTATGCCACCACGGACACCCACCAGCCGGTGGCCATCCACCCCTCGTCTGTCCTCTTCCACTGCAAGCCAGCCTGCGTTGTGTACACCGAGCTGCTCTACACCAACAAGTGCTACATGCGGGACCTCTGCGTCGTGGACGCCGAGTGGCTGTATGAGGCTGCCCCCGAGTACTTCAGGAGGAAGCTGAGAACCGCCAGAAACTGAGCCGGATCTGCTGGTGCCTGGAGCTGGGACCATAGCTGTCCGCATAGCTGACTTCCAGGTTGGCGCCTAGAGAGGTGGCATGTTTTGATGTAGCGGAATGTGCCTGACTTCCAGGAGCTCGAGAGCGTCTTTGTTTAAACCCTGAAGACTGAACTGTGTAAATGTGTACATACCATTTTTACCTTGGAAACTTCAAAATTATGCTTTCGGTTATTGCTGGGTGACTTTAGGTGACTTAGTTAACTTCTGAGCCTCGGTTTCCTCATCTGCCAAATGAGGGTAATAATAATACTTACAGGGGTGGAGTTATGAGGTTTACAGAAAATGAATGCAAAGTACCCAGAGCTGTGCCCGGCCTGCGATGAACATACGGTGAATTGTGAGCCCTTATGCCTGATGTTATTGCTTTCTCCATGGTGTTAGTTGAGTACAACAAAACCGCCTGAGTTCCTGTGACTGAGAGGGATTTTCTGGAAGGGGACCATAGGAAATCGCAGAGTTGGATGTTGTCCTTGGATCTATTTTAACATCTATCTGTATGAAGTTTTTAAACAGAAAGCATAAGAGATTGACTTCTGTAGAAGTTTCAGGAGGGAGATGCTGTTGTGTCTCACCTAATGGGCTGGCTGCCCCTGTGAACACTCCCCAGGGTGTGGCCCTCTCAGAGACCAGTAAAGGAGTGCTCACAGGACGCTGGGCTGTGTCTCTTCATCCTCGGTGCCTCTCTGGTTCATATCCCCATCTGTGCTTTCAGGAGACGTGGAAGTTTCCTGGGTGTGGGGTGATCTGTATCTTCTGAATCGTGTCAAGTGTAGACATGGGAAACTGTCCTTGTGGCGTGATGCCTCCAGCATACCCAGTTGCCATTTTTCTCTCTAACTGGGCACATAGAAACATGTGAGCATAGGGAATGACGCCGTGCTACATTTCAGCTGTCTCTCTTCTGGCAGGGCCCCTGGGCAGAGGGCCATTGGGAGTGGGGTGGAGGACAGCGGCCAGTGGTCACTGTGAACCCAGACAGCAGTGGCTCGCCCCACCTGCCACGACTGGTGTATATATTCTTTATTTTCTGGTGTGTATCTTATTTATTTTCTGTGATCTTTTTGTCCTTCTTCTTAGGGACAACCTAGCCTTGCTGCTTCCTAGCCATCCACCCCTCTCCAGGCTCAGTTTCCACATTTGTCAGAGGGAATTAGAGGGTCTCCACAGTCTCCTCCTTTTCTCATATTCTGAGAAGGGAAATGACACCAAAAGTTCTTCTTAGCTATTTGATTATCAGAAGCAAATAATATTTCCCCAGAGAATGTTTTGCCCTAGAAGCAGCCAAGGTTTAGCCCTTTACTTGTGCTACATTGGTCTAAACACACGTGCAATATTTCCGTCATCACTTACAGAGTGAATCATGCAGTTGACAAGCAGGGGACCAGACTGCCCCAGAGGCTCTTCAGATTGAAGACAGTGGGTGGTCTCTTCCCTCTGGGTCCAGCGAGCTCTTCTCCGAGCCCGCAGCCTGCTGGCCTGCCCCGTCCTAGGTCCGCTCTGTCCAGGCCTGTGTACGTCTGGCTGGCCCAGGCTTTCCAACGGGAGCCGTGGCCTTGAGCAGGCAAGCTTTTAGCCAGTGTTCAAGGCTGTCTGGGTACTTGTGATTTATTTCTGTTAGAAATAGTTGCACTTAGGCCGAACAGGATTCGACAGATCCTATATACCCTCTCTTACTGAATTCTTAGACTTTTAGCTGGCTCTTCCTCAGATTGACTTATTCTTACTGTTGCTGACTTTCTGAAATTTTTTCAGAAATTTTTTAAAGTGTATTTTTCTCATTTATTTAATAGAGACCTAGGATCTTTAGCCTGACTTAGTAAAAGGAACTATTGTATTTTTAATAAAGCATTCATCATGCTGGTAAAAAATTGGGAGTGGGGTGATTTATTATGTTCCTCAGCAAATTCTCTATCAAGAGGTGTTCTCTGGTGCAAGTAGAATGTAACTTCGGATAATTTATGTCCATCCTGAACAGTCTCTGGAAATGTATATTCTTTCCTGCCAGAGTAAGGGGTAAATAGCTTCTAAGTAAATGTAAATAGCTTCTAAGTAGTTTTAATGTTTCTGTACAGAAATAAGTTTAACACTGTAACATTCTGGTAGAGTTTTAATACAGTAGTTTTTTATTGGGCTTTTTAAAAAGTTAAGTTTTAACATACCTGCTCAGGGATTAATTCAGATTGGAAAATCCATTCTGACTCCACTTGTTACTACAAAGAAATAAACAGTTATTTCTGTTGAGCTGCAGGGAACAGAACACTTTAAACTTTCTTAAGGAAGTTAAGTGTTTCACAGTGATGTTGCGATACAATCTTGAGCTACTCTTTTTCAATTGGTAAAATCTCTGATGGTGTGACACCTCTTTTTCAACCTGTGAAATCCACCGCTGGGGAAATCACCAGCTCCCATGCGCAGCTTCGTGTCAGGAGATGCGCTCCAAGCAGATCACACATCTCAGGTGTTTGCTCTCTGCTTCTGGTAGTCATGGAGCCTGAAACATCCAGAGCAGCACAGATTTCATTACAAGGGGCAGGACTGCCAGCACCGGTCCTTGGTCAAGACCCCGATGTAATGTCGCATCTCTGCTGGTTATAAGGAGATGCCAGAATGGAGACACGTTTTTGCTCTGTGGGTAACACTGATAATGTACTGTGATGCATAAATCCATTTAATCCAGCTGTCAAGAAGTGCTTGGGACTGTGGCCAGGCATCTTAAGATACCATTACTTGAGCATATAAGGAAACACTGCACCTGTGGGGAAGTGATGGTTTTATTGTATTTTATTTGATTAGAATATTATAACTTGCAGAAGAAATCAAGTTGGTTCAGCTTTATGTTGTATTTTTAGAGCCTGGTCTTGTTCAAAACAGACATAGCTCTACAGAAACATCAGTTCTTGCATATAATGCTCAAATTTGCACATGAGTACCAAGTCCATTAAAAATGAATCTTGTACATGATGTGTGTGGCTTCTTTTTGAGTCTCCTTTCCCTTCTTCACAGAATGCTATGTAGAATATATTAAGAATTAGTCTTATCTTGGCCACTAATTTGGGATGACTTACTTTCTTGGTACCTTATATATCCTAGGTGTCCTGGTAAGGTGGGAACATCAGTTCTTTTTTTAATTCTTTTGGTGAGGAAGATTGTCCCTGAGCTAACATCTGTGTCAATCTTCTTCTGTTTTGTATATGGGACCCCGCCACAGCATGGCTTGATGAGTGGTGTGTAGGTCTGCTGAAGCATCCAAACGCCTGAACCCACGAACCCCAGCCATGAAGGGGAGGTCACGAACTTAACCACTATGCCACCAGGCAGGCCCGGAACATCAGTTCTTAACCTAAATCTGATGGAAGCCATGGCTTCTTGCCTCCAGAAAAATGATGTCCCATCAGAACTTGGGTGCAAGCTTGGAGGGTGCAGAGGGGCCGTGGCAGGAATTAACCAGGGATCCTGCCCTTCAGGAGCTCCCTTCTGGTGGAGGGAAGGGGAGGCTGCCAGTTAAACTCGCAGTGCCAGGAGGTTTCTGCTGAGAGGAGAGTGAAGCACAGGGGCGAGGTCCCACAGGCGTGAGTCCCTATTTGTTTCATAGAAGAGAGGAGGAGGTTCCTGGAAGGCCTCTTAAGGGGGATGACCTTGGAGGCTGGTCTTGGGAGCTGGGAGCGGCAAGAGCGCACTGAAGTCATAGAAAGCCTGGCGTGCTTTGAGAACAGTAGATGGAAATTTGGAGAGCAGCCACTGGAGAGAACTGATGCTGGCAAACTAAACAGCCTTGGACACCAAGCTCAGGCCTGCTCAGCTAAAGTTCAGTTACCGGATTCAAGGACCCCCCGGCAGAGGGCGCAGTCCCGCCCACGGCGCCCTCGGTCTGCAAAGCGACGGCGCGGAAGTGCTTCCCGGGTGAGGGCGGGACTTCCGGCGGCGCGCTCGGTCAGGGGGCGCCTTGGCCCTGGGCGTCCTCCGCATCCGCACGTGTCTGCCTCCGCCTGCGCGATGCTGCCTCTGCTGCGCTGCGTGCCCCGCTCCCTGGGCTCCGCCATCGCCGGCCTCCGCGCCGCCGCGCTCTCCCCGCCGCTCCGGCAGCTGCTGCAGCCCGCGCCCCGGCCGTGCGCCCGGCCCTTCGGGCTGCTCAGCGTGCGCGCGGGGTCGGAGCGGCGGCCGGGCCTCCTGCGGCCTCACGGGCCCTGCGCCTGCGGCTGCGGCGCCCTGCACACGGAAGGTGAGTCTCGCGCACGTGGGCCGGGGCCGCGAGGGGCAGAGTCTTGGATGGGGTGGGGGCCCGTGGCGCGGGCGGGGAAGGGTAGACCGCGGGTGGATCAGCCGGAGCCGTCGCCCGAGGTCCGGAACGTGTTCCCATTTATTGACAATCAGAGGGTTAAACCCACGTGTGATCACATTTCCCCGATCCTCCAAGTGTTTAATTTTGAGGGGAGAGATACAGTTAAATCTGAAGGCTGACTTTATCCTTAGTCTGTCGAAAGTGGAACTTTGGGAAGGCTCAAGGTGTGGTTAAAAGTAGCGTAGTTATGTCTGTTGGCAAGTGAAAGAGGATGACGGGATTTTCACATGTTGGGGTATATGGGGTAGCCATTCTGGTTCAAAGTGGATTCAGCTTGAACTAAAGAAGCCTGATTTATGGTCTATCAAAGATACGTTGTACATCTGATTTGACCATTAAAGAATGCCCTCTCTTAAGAGAAGAATGCATTGGGCCAGCCCCCTGGCTTAGTGGTTAAGTGCTCGTGCTCCGCTACTGGCGGCCCCGGTTCGGATCCCGGGTGCGCACCGACGCACCGCTTCTCCGGCCATGCTGAGGCCGTGTCCCACATACAGCAACTAGAAGGATGTGCAGCTATGACATACAACTATCTACTGGGGCTTTGGGGGAGAAAAATAAATAAATAAAATTATTAAAAAAAAAAGAAGAATGCATACTTCCCCTCCTACGCCCTATCAGTAACGCCTGTATTAGTCCCTTTCCCGCCATCAGGGTCGTGTTGACCTGCTAATCTGCAACTGAATACCTCTTTGAAACTTTGATGAATATGTATCCTGGATGTGTTTAATGTTTGTTCTTTGTTCTAAAACGGTTTAAGATTGTATTGAAAACCATGCTTTTCTGGAATGCTTTCTTCCTTTGTGGAAACTGCCTTCCCAGGTTATAATCCTCACCCTGGCTCAAGTAAAACTCACCCTACCTCTCTTATCTATAGAATGGTTATCATTTATTTTGCATGGTCAGGGTAATTGAGAATTCTCTTGCTTTTGGTGAAACGTGGTAATGGTTCATTGTTCGCAGTCACTTTTGCAGAATTCCCACTGGTGCCGTTAGGGCATTTTTACAGATGAGGACACAGGCTTAATGAATGTGAATTGGCCTAAGTTCCCAGACACCATCAACAGCAGAAGTGTTAGAAACAGTCCAAGTCCAGATTTCTGGCTGCAGTAACAGGTTATTTTTATGTTTCAGACTGGCTCTTCTTTTTCTGTGTCTTATGGCTTTTCATTGTAGGGGACAAAGCTTTTGTCGAATTCCTGAGTGATGAAATTAAGGAGGAAAAGAAGATACAGAAGCATAAGTCCCTCCCCAAGATGTCCGGAGGTTGGGAGCTGGAAGTAAATGGGACAGAAGCCAAATTAGTACGGAAAGTTGCTGGAGAAAAGTAAGTATTGGGGGCCTGCGGACTCCAGGGGACCAAATCCATGACCCCGCAGGACCTGCCCTGAGGCATCCCGGAACAGCCTTACAGTGCTAATGGAATCAGTTTGATCTCAGGTTTACAGTGCTGACTCATTACACTGCAGGCTCTGACTGAGCAAAACAAGGCCCTGCTTTCAGATGTTTTCAGTAGGTGAAAATGCAAGATATGTAACTCACGTGTAACAGGATGGGGTCACAGTATAAGAGCTGCCATTAGAAAGGAGGGGAGCTTTTGACCTAGTTCAGCTGTTTAAGTCTATGATCTGTTTTGAGTGAACTTTTTTTTTTT